GAAATGATATATTTTAATCATTGAAATTAGAGACCTTCACTGGCATTGATTTCTTCATCCAGCCTAGGTCATAAGTAAAAATAATTTTCAGGCCCAGTTCATGTTTAATGGAAATCCAAACCCAAACCACATCATAGGTTTCAAAGATTATTCCCAAGCCATATCCAAAAATTTAATTTATTGTTAACAAAAATAAACAATATTTCAGTATATGGAATCACTTTGTCAATTCATTTAATTGAAATCTTTTCTTAAATCAATAATCAAATGAGAGGAATAGATTATCTGTTCATTCTCCCAAGATTTCTATAAATATTTAGAAAAAAGGCCAAATATATTATGGAAAATTTGATGTTATATAAAATTTATCTAATAATGAAATAAAAAATTTATCAATTCTTTTAACAAATTTTTTATCACACAATGGTTTTCACCTCTCACTTATAATTTTGTATATAATTTACACTTACCTCAAAGAATCATTTATCATAAATAGAAATCAATTATGGGTCCAACCTGATTGCCTCACAAAAATGTGGTAATATTTACCCCATTGAAAATGATTATTTAAAAAATTATTAGCAAAAATAATTGCCATGGTTCAAAACCCAGATAACTTATTAAGTATACATATTAAGATTAAATAAAAATAGCTTCATTCTTTATTATATTTATTTATCTATCATCAAATTAAGGAAAATGCAATTATATGCTTAAAAAATTACCTTTTTAAAATCCAAAAATGTTTCTTTATATTGTTATTTGAGTAGGATTATCTTATCATAAAAGGGATTCTTTATTCAAAAGGTCCTTATTATAAAAAAATATATATTGATAATTTAAAATTGATACTGTGAAAATCTAAATCCCATTATGTAAATGAATTTTCTAAAAATTTAAAAAAATAAATATAGTGTATAATATTTATAAATTGACAGATATCTTTTCTTTAATTGACATTTTTCAGAAAATCAACGATAATCATATCGATTATTGGATTTAAAAATATCATAATACAAGTCAAAAATTACCCTCCAAAAATCAATACCTACCCCCCAAAAACAAATGCCTACCCCCCAAAAATCAATATCTACCCCCCAAAATTAATACCTACCCCCCAAAATGCCAATATTTTTTGGAGGCATTTGTCTCCTACCCCCCCGGCCATGTAGACACTGGCTATATAAACCCCCCCCCCTTCCCTTCCGCACCTTTTTCATGAATTGTTGGTATATTAATTATTGTTATTTTATCCTTTTCCCCATGTACAATGTAAGGTTTTATTGTATTCTATATAAGAAATTAACTTACCAACTACAAGTATAAATCTTAGTATGTTTTCAATTTTCCCCATGTGACATACATTTTTTTATATATTTTTTTTTAATTAGTAATATTGTTTATGTTCTACGTTATATTTTAATGGTCTTTTTTTATATTATACATATTATCTATAATGTATGTTTGTATATTGCCGCAGAACAATAAATCAAATATTTAAATTATCTATAATTGGTTAACTTTTATTGTTGATATGGTAAACTGACATAATAATTTTTGTCTTGTTAAATAATTAAACATACTAAATACATCACTAATTAAATATAATATCTTATATAAAGATATATATAAAAGTTAGTTATTTCATTGGGATTCATTGGAATTAAATTTAATAAAAGCCTTGTTTAATTCGATCTATAAATTTTTTCATTATTGATACGGGCAATGAAAATCTTATAATATTTATCGTCATGCGATCTCAAATTATTGTTACGCATATATTTTTTTATATATAAGAACAATAAAAATTTTATAACATTCATCGTCATGTATGAATGAATAGTTAGATATAAATAGTTATTTTTCTTTTATATTTCAAAGTAATTTTTTTACAGAAAAGATAAAATTTTTTTTATGAAATTTGAAAATAAACGTTTTAAATAAAATTGCAAAAGTGTTTTTAAATATAATCTAAAAAGTATGATTAAATAAAATCGAAAAAACAGTTATATTTATCTTAAATATAATTATCAGAGACCTATCATTTGCAGGCCATTCCCCGGATTTATATTTTCAGGCCCAGTCGCCCCAGATTTTTTTTAAAATATATTATATTTATTTTAAATTTTTATAGCTAATAATGGCGATTTAAAATATTTGGTTTTGAAATATACGGCCCAGCCCGGGTATTTAAAAAAAAAAATTAGGCCCGGCCCGGGTATATTTAAAAAATTAATATGGCCTGCAGTCTGCTGATAATTATATTAAAAGATTTAAACCATCTATTAATAGATTGGATGAAATATAATTATTTATTATTGAATATATCTAGTAATTTAATTTTTTAAGTTGTTTACATCATAAGAAAATAAATCTCACAATTAATAGAGTACAAATATAAAATTTTTACCTAAGTTTTTACAGTTTACCTTGGCATTTGTATTTTACCTAGGCATTTATAGTTTGCCAATCCGAAATAATCAAATTAATTTTTCCGATTTCCAAAACTTTTCAAGATAATAATATTTAATATATCTTATCATTTTAATGAGAATTATTATGATAAATCATATAATAATTACTTCTGATAATGAAAAAAGTTATTCTTATTTGAATGTGAAGTATTTCTATTTTATATAATTTCTATAAATAATGATATTTTAGAAGTTTCAAGCAATTCCGCATTTTTTAAAATGTTATTAGCTTAATAATTTATGATTTATTAAGTATAATATTTTCAATTTTATCATTAGTTTAAAATATAATATAATTTTCAGAGATTGAAGAAAAGTGTCATTAACTGAATTCCTGGAATTTCATTGATTTATGTATTAAAAGATAAAGAAAATAGTTCAAATTTAATACAAAATTTAATATAAGCACCAGGAGTCCATGATGTAAAAAAAATATTCAACAATAGTCCTAGTTATTAATATAGAGACGACCTTTAATAACGTAGTTAAAAATTTAAATCCAAAAATTCAATTACAGTGGAGATGTTTTCAATCATGCATAAATTAGTTACTACATTAAAATCACAAGTTATCAATAAATTTTATGCCTTGGTTGTAAGACAAATTCATTTGAAATGTGATGATCATGATAAAATCGCATCATTTCAATTCAAAATGGAGCTAATAAATTTATTAAAACAATCATTTCATAATTTTTAAAAAATATGAATTTACAAAAAATATATGGGGAAATCTAAGTTTTATGATGCTTGATTAAATTCAAATTCAAATGTTGAAAATATATACACCAATTTTAATATAAAAGATATGGAATTAGATGAATTATTTCAGGTTCATTGTTGGATCAAAATAACTTCATAGATCATGAAAATAAATAGGTACTATTTTTTCTAAAGAATCTTGCTCCAAATTTTGAAAAAATATGAATTTTCTCATTACCACATTCAAATACTGATTCAGAGCAAATATTTTGTCAATGAAAAATTTATGGGTAAAAGATGGCAATCGATTATCTTTATCAGCTATAGATGTTTAAACATGACCGGAGTAAACCGGAATGAACCGCTAAACCATTATAAACCTTTATAGGTAAACCGTAACCGAACGAACCGCGATAATTTTTTTTGAAGGAGTAAAAAGAGCCATTATAAAGGTTAACCCGGTTTAATAGGTTTCAACCAAAATAAAATAAATAATTTTACATATTTTACATTCTTTTCCTTGTGGTGTATCATATTTTACCATATCTGCGTCGTTATTTATACTTATTAAATGATCAAAATATTTGTTTAATATCCATCAATCTTTTAACTGCTTCATATAGTATTAAAGCATTACTATTTTCTCTATTTTAGTATATAAAATATCTAAATAACCAATGACAGCTTAGAGATAAAGATTGCAATCCACCTCTAGCTCTTCCATAGAAATATTATTGATTCGTTTGAAGGCGTTGACAGGATAGGATAAAATTTATCAGTTTTTATATATTGGGAATCAAAAAATTTGAATATCCATAATTATATAAACTTGCTCTTATAGTGTTTGCTGTTCCCGCAACACAAGTTTCTTTTGTGGCCTTTTCGGGGTTAAAATTTGTGTTGTCGTCACAACGAACAAAATGAATTTACTTGCTATATTAGAAAATATATTACTTATACGTTCAAATAATATATTTAAAAATGAGTTATGGTTCTTATATATTTTTTTGTATATATTATTCATAGTTACTTATAATAAAAATTAATTAATTATATTTACAGTGATGGCAAAAATTTTAATAAATAATATTTATAATTAAAACCATTATACAGCTTTATAAAATTTTTCTTCAGAACCATAACCAAACCGTAATCACAATAATTTTTCACATATTAAGTGTAATAAATAAAGTTCGGGTTCCTGATCGTAAATGATCAATTAAAATTTTTAAAGATTTTAGGGAATATGTAACAAAAAATTAAAATTTAATTAATAGTAAAGTCTTCTAAAAATATGAATGAGAATAAATATATGTTAGCGTCAATGTGTTTTTTTCCGACAATGTGTTATTTTTTCAACTTTAAATCATTTTTTGAGCACGTTTTTAAAAATTTAAAAATCTGATGAAAATGTATGCCGTCATGTTTGGAATACCTACCTTATAAATTTCAGACCATTTTTCCATGAACTTTAATTAAATTTTCTATATATTTTTATATAAATTATAAATGACTTAGGTTAAGAGCAAAATTGTCTGCAATTCATAAGATAATTTATTAAACGCGCCCAAAAAATGATTTAAAATTGTAAAAATAACACATTGCCGGAAAAAACATATTGGCGCAAACATATATATTGTTTTCAATATTTTGTGTATATAATAATTTCGTATAAAATTATTTTAATTATGGTAAAATTCTTCCGCCTTTTGTTTGAATTAATCTGGCAACTTGATGTTCAAACATTTTATGCCTACTGACCTAGGAATCGATATAATTATATAAAATAGTAATTGTTATCAAATATTTTATATAAATTTTATAGGTAATAGGAATAAAACTTGAAAATTTAATGAAGAAAGAAGCTTACCTGAATAATGGTAAAGGGACTACCAATAAAAATGACGACTTTCAGATAGGCTATTTAAATGTAGAAGATTTTTTCATGGAAAGTAAAATAATAGATAAATTACAATATATTTTTTATCAAATATTCATTTCTAACAAAATATTATCAAGAAATTTAATTTTAGTTTTCAAATAGTATATCTCCTATTAATAAGAAATGTATTATATTGTATAAAAGTTATAATATTATTTACAAACAAACTAAAAAATAATTATTTTTAATTTCAAATATAAATTTTTGAATTATAATCCATATTTAAAAAAATAATAGGTGTATATATTGAATTGAATCTTAAGACTTAATTTTAATAAAAACAATTATCATATTACAAACTATCTATAATAATATCTATTTATAATAATATCATCTATTTTTATAAAAAAGATGTAGACATGGGTAAGAAAAATGAGTACAATATATTGATAAAATTTCTGATGACAAACTTGCTATACGAAATAACAGTATATCTAAAAAGTCTTCGAAAACGCAATAGTTCGAGTAAAGGCAAAACTATCAAAAAATACGGAGTTTCTTGGGAGAAGAAGAAACGCAGCAGATGGAACAGTTTGCTGGGGTTGATGGGTGTCTCCATAAGTAGTCTGTCATCCGGGGGTCCCGATATCTCTGGTATAAATATAATTTGCCTCATTTGTTGAAATTTTAAAAACTAATTAATAGATGAATTAGAGATGATGTTCATCTAATTATAAAATATTTTGGTCACGATAGGTCACAAATATCTTTTATTCCTGGATGGGCCTTGAAAATTTAAACTTAAAATTTTGACTGACATGAAAAGAATTTATTTTTTAAAATTTGTAATTCGCCAAATTTTCATAATTCATTATTTATGGTGCCTCCAAAGTCAAAAAATTTTTCAAAAGAAATAAAAATTATTCTCGCATTTATACATTATGCGCCCAAACTCGATTTCGTAAATTTCAATAATGAATTAATATTTTTTTAAATAAAATTTTGACTTTGGACTCACCCTTAATGTTTACATAATTTTGGATTGTTAATTAGTAGGTGGGAATAAGATCAGAAATTTAACACACTACCCAAGCAACATCGACAGAGCAGATGTCACAATTCATGTTTTTAAAAACCAAAAATTATAAAAATTTATTTAGTTTGTTGTTTTAAATGATGCTATGATTAAGATTAGCTATATCCGATATTTACAGGAGACTGGGGACAATGTTATCCCAGGGACAGGTCATTTCTAAATAATTATAAAACTAATGAACTTTGAAATCTAAACCATATATGCATCTTTAATAAATTTTATATTAATAAAAAAAATAAAAAGATTTAGTTAAATAGTAATGTAAGATCTTGTTTCGGAAAAATCAGCTATTAGTAATATTTTTTCGAATATAAATGTTATATTTATTCAATTATACTATTATCTCATGTAATCAACCATTATGGTTTCTTAATAGAACCTAGAAAAAGTTTATTGGCCTCTAATCTATCTCAAAAAGAAGATTCTTCACAAGGTAGTATTACTAGTGTGCACTTGGATGATACAATAACGGAAGAAGATATTCCTCAAGGTATCAAAATTTAGATATTTTTTTGTGATTATTATTAAATTTGATAGACAGCATAAACATTATTAAATCGGAGGGGGGGGGAAATGTTTATTAAAATTTGTTTAATATTTTAGATCAATCCAACAAAAAACTTTCGGAAGGTTACATCTATGAAAATAAAATTAGGCGACGATTTGGCTCTTCGTTCGGCTCATTTGCGGGTCACAATAAATCAAGGAGATCTAGTTTGAAATTTAAAAGGGGAGAAGGTTGAAACCCTTTTAAATATAATAATATAGTTTACAATTATTTTTTTTCATCTGCCAGTAAAGGAAGGAAGGAAGGAAGGAAGGAAGGAAGGAAGGAAGGAAGGAAGGAAGGAAGGAAGGAAGGAAGGAAGGAAGGAAGGAAGGAAGGAAGGAAGGAAGGAAGGAAGGAAGGAAGGAAGGAAGGAAGGAAGGAAGGAAGGAAGGAAGGAAGGAAGGAAGGAAGAAAGAAAGAAAGATAGAGTGAGCAATGATTGTCAGGCACCTCAAAAATGTTAGCAGTAAATTGAAGTATGCTATTTGAATTATTTTTAATTACAAAAATGCCACTAATTATGGAATGACAGTTGATCTCTGGCGAAGACTTTTTTTCTGAAACCGATCTCAGATATGGTTAGAATGAGGTTAAGAAAAAGTCTTATATGGGGGAAGAGTAAATCTAATAATATCTTAAATAGTTTAATAAAACTTGGACGTTGATTGATAAGTTCATGTGTAGCCATGCCAATGACACGTATATTATTATTAGTCCAATAAATTGTGCTAATAACAGAAAACCCAAAACTTGTCTAGATAGTCAAACAATGTTAACAGAAATATTTTACCGTGAATATTTTTCAAAATTTTATAAAAATGATTGTAAAAATATATTTACAAAATTAAAATTTTTTTTATATGAGTTTAAAAAACAAATATTGTTTTTTCGTTTATTTACATCCTCCTCCCCTTCCACCAAAAAAAAGGCGCAATATCATTTAAAAAAAAATTTTCTTTCTTAAATCACAGATATGAGCAGAAAAGATAGCTTAAAATCTTCCCGAAAATTAAGCAGCGTCGATCAGTCCGTTCCTTCTTCAACTAACGGAACTCGAGCTGTTAATAAAACTGAGAGCCATAATGTGACCCCCTCGAGAGATAAAGAAAGTAGTATTGATGCCTCAGACGACCAAATTGATAGCAGTAATGTGATAATTTCCATACCTGAAACATATCCCTGGATTGTAGTATAAAGCTTTAATTAAATATTTATTATTGTTTATATTCTAGACCTGCAGACAAGGTCCGAAACTTTAATCCCGTCCGGCCCATCCTTATAAAATGCTGTATAAAATATTATTTATTCTAGCTGTGCTGGCCATTAAAATAAAAAAATTATAAACCCGGATCAGGTTATTTTTTTATAAAATTCGCCAAATCAGGCCGATGAAACTTTTTAGAATTCATACAATTCAGATATCAATTCTAATCTTTTTATAATTACTGAAATAAAAAAATAATCAACAAATATATGAATCTTAGTAATTTTATTTTATTTTAGCCCAAAAAATTTCTATTTTTCGCCAATTACTTCTAAGTTTTTAAAATAGGTTTAAAAATTACAAACTAGGCTAGAGAACTAGTTAAGGAAAAATTAAAATTTTCAAAATATAATTATCGTTCCTTTTTGTCGACACAATTAATCATCGTATAATCTTATTTTTGTCTTACTATATTTACAGTTTATAAATCTATAGTTTATAATTTTAAAAAAAATCAGTAATTATAAAGGATATTCATTTACTGCTCATATTTTCAATTTCCTTTTGAAACAATTTACAAAAGTACAACCAAAATTATAATAAAATTTTAAAAATAATTGATCCCTAAAATGCTCAAAACTTTAAAAAAATTCGGGCCAGGATAGGCATAAATTTTTTACCCCTACTTCACTGATTAATACATGTTTGTTTTATAGATAGTTTTGATTAAATAAATTTAACTTGGACTGAAACTTTCAAAAATATTTAAAAATTATTTATCTTTATTTCATTTTTATGATTATGGTCTCAAATTTTAATATATTTTCTTATGTTTTTACATTAAAACATTGTTATTAATTTATTCTCAGATAAGCTTAGGAATGCAGACTATGTTAGATTATGAATGTAAGCACTCACCTAGTTGTTCCCCTTATTGCTACAAGTTACTCTATGAAAATATGAATCAATTACTAAAAGCGGTATCATTGGTGTACGAATACGATATTAAAAAGGACAAAATTTGTGATGTCCATTCATTAAATACTTTGCAATACCTTATGAAAAAAGTTAAAATGGCCTTTGAAAATTTAAAAACTGTTTTAATATAATTTTTAGAAAGCTTTAGTACATCATCCACCTATATTGATAGAAAACACGCCTGATCATCAAGTATTTTTTAATATTTAAAATTTAGAGACGAGTTTTGATAATTTTGTTTTTCTTTATTATAAGTCTTCCAAATATATCGACAAATATCATTCAAAATTAAGTACCATTATACCAAACTATATTCAAAATCAGGTAATATTTACTATACTTATTTTTTTAAATATATTTTATAGAGAGAGAGTGGGGGTGTTAATTTTTTTTAAATATAACAAATTGTGTGTATAAAAAGCAGACTACTTAATTCTGTTATTTTTTCTTGATATTTAAAATTTTCTAAAAAAGGCTGTCTTGCTTCGAATTTTCATTCATAAGTTAAAAGATTAAAATATAAACATCCCGAGAGCTCCGACTATCTAATGCCAATATCTTTTAGACTTCTCTAAAATCTTCAAAATTTTATAGATTAAGATTTTAAGGAGGTCTTGGAGGCAAACTTTTAGTGAAAGTTCCGATCTATTTATAAATAATGAATAGAGGAGTGGGATTTATCTGGATAAATGAGTGAATTTATACATTACGGCAGAAATTTATAACAATTTAAGCCCATTTTCAGCTTGTCAAATAGTAGTTGTTTCTAGCGGGTAATATTTGAGCCAAATTCGCAAGAATTATTTTTTAAGTTTCATAATACCTGCCTTGATCAAATTTAGTTATCAACTAAAGTTATCAACTAAAATAAACTTAAAATAAAATGTTTTATAATTACTTATTTATTTATTTTTTTTATCAAGTTTAATATTGAAAATCGGATGCCCTCTATATAAATGGGTTTCTTTTTAAAAATAAGCATCTTATTCATGGGCAAAATCAATTTTATCAATTTTTCTAAGATCTGAGAGAATGAAGTCGAAAAGTTGCTTTTTAAATTGCGTAGAAATTGACCATATAATTACCGTTTTGAATTCGATTCAAAATATTGTAAAAACTGTATAATCAAACTCTTTGAAATCTATATACTGATTGATTTAATCCATTATTAGGAAAAATATCTTATAATATTTCCTCCAATGATGAAAATAGAAAGTAACCAATTAAATTTTTTTTTAAACAAAAGGTTAAGGATTGCTCGCACTCAATATTCACTATGCTTGTTAAAATTGCCCCTCTTATCCCTGAACACCTGTTTCAAATTGGAATGAATTGCGCTTGGAGCCTAGTTAAATCTTCCAATAAATATCTCTCTTACAGCTCAGGTTTTTCTAATAAAAAATGGCTTATTAATAAATAAAAAATATTTAAAAATTATTAGCACTTCACCTTATCTCGACTTTTTTCAGAGATAGTATGGCGGGTTGACCGAGGTGGAGAAGGAAAGGGAAGGAGGGTGTCAAGGAGGGGAGGGAAGGAAAGAGAGCTTTTTATAGGAAAATGAAGTGATGGAGGAGAATTTAACAAACTCCTCAAGTTGTGACTAAATTATATTGGAAGTTTTACTATATCATCATTTATTATAACTTAATTATTATTTATACAAATGCATATAATTAATAAAATGGTACATAATATGTTAATATTGCATATAATTCATGCAAAATTTTTTACTCACAAAAAGCTGCCTTTATAACATTGGGATCAATCAAATTTCCGGATTTCACTATCACTCTGATAAAAAATGGGTTCGATTCAAAAGACGAAAATGAAATCATCAAATCCATTTTAAAGTTATGAAAATTTAAATAATTCAATTTTACCAGAATATTATTATTTTCCTTTATAACTTAGCCAAATTACATGAAACATTATATTATCTATATAATTAAGTCAGAGTCTAAAAGCAAATAAAATGTAAAATATTCTTAAACCAACCAATAATCATCCCTCAGACCTGACGGATTGACTATTATCACTTTCAGGCAAATCCCATTATTTGAGACTTCACTTGTGTCTTCTATTCCTATCAGACTGAAACTCGAACCCTTTACCAAGAGCTGAAATAAAAAAGATAAAAAAAATACTTAATACTAACACACTATATATTCACTCCAATCGTTTTATCATGGAGATTTTTCTTCCCTGACTTACACATTTTTTAAAACTTCTGAAAGAGAATTTCTCTATTTTCGTTAAAAATCAGGTAGAAAGAAACCTTCAAATATAATTACGGCTGTTTTTTGGGAACCCAACCAAGAAATAGGGTGCCCAGATTTTTTATTTGCTCATAATTAGATTTTTAGCAATTAAAATAATATTATATATACAATCTATAAATCGAAATTTATTTAGAAAAAGAAGAATGTCCAACTTTTTTTGTTTCAATTGTGTATACGCCTTTCCTCTAATAAAAGATTGGCTAGAGAAAATAAACTTTCACTAGAAGCCGAACTCGAGGAGCTGACAAAATTTTACTCGCTATTTTTCAAAAAAGGAATTGAATATTCCTGCTTCCAAAACTTCAAAATACTGTCTTGTTATTTATCTTATATGAATCTTTTAAGTTCATCCTCATAGCTTTCATCGGTGATGTTGATGCTTCACCAAAATCATCTAGAAATTCTCTAAATTTTTTATTTAGAATATACGGTTTTTTTATGAGTTTAGGATAAGTTAGGAAAGTTATAAATGATAGTTGGCATCGACATATGCATATCATCTTATTTTATAACATTTAGCATTTTTAAGATTGTTTTATATATATCATCCTTTTCTGCTTCTATTAAAAACTTAAGTCTTTTGAAATTCGGATCTAGAATTAAGCCTACCTTATGTGATGGCTGCATAATTAATATTATTTAGTATATGGCATATATGTATATGCTAGTGTTTCGTCATCTTTGAATGCACTTATAAGATTTTCTCCATTATAAGTCACACAACTATACATTTATTTAAATAATTTTCTACTTCTGTGTATTCATCTAAAATTAAATTGACTACACTTTTAATATTGACGCTTGTTTTCATTTTCCTTGTGGCCAAAACAAATCTTTTTAATTTAATATCCTTAATGATAATATGTCCTGTAATGGGTAAAAAACTTCGATTTTTATAGTCATCTGCCCAAATATGAGTGGTTACGGACAAGTAATTATTATTGATCATGCTTTTAGTCTTAATTTTTATTTCATGGTATAATTTTTGACCTATAGTATTCATGAGAGTTTTCCGGTTCAAAACTTTTATATTTTGTTATCCATATATCCATATGTAACACCAAATTTATCTCTTGGCCTAGCTTGTAAAATCCTTCACTTTCTGTTGCATTTAAAGATTGAAGATCTTTACAAATAAAATATAACAGACTTTTCTGTAAAATTTAAGCAATTTAGCATAAAGTCTGCGCGATAAAAAACACCTAAACATAAAAAGAAAATAGAACTAACGAAATAATACCGGATGTTGTTTATAAAATGCGGAAGATTTTTAGTTTGCATAAATTATTCTTTTTTTAAAAAAGAACTAAATTAAATAAGAAAATATGTAATATAATTATAAAATTGCAAATTTATATTTATAAAAAACAAATTTAAAATTGATTCACGGGAAATTTATGTTCACAGCTGGGTAAAATTTTGGGAATGCCCGTCACACCTTAAAATTTAAAATTTATTCCCGCGCTCACCTCTATTGTTGATGTTCGACATAACAATAATCAGCTATGTTGTAAGAACAAAAGCGGCATTTAACAACTCAAATTTAATTCTGATGTATATTGCAAAAATGAATATTTCTTTCTTACTCAGGCCATGTGAAATGAGTCACCTTTTCTCATGGTCATAAATTACCTTTTTTCATTCTCATTCCCTCCCTTCCACAGACATATATGATCTAAGATTACGATATCATTTTAAGCGCAATTTATCAGCAGACACAGCAATAATAAAAAGCTTCTGGAAACTTAGATATATATAATAATAGTAAAAAAAAATTCAACAAATTTATATCTAACAAATATATATTTATCTAAAGTAATTCCTAGAATCGCCAAGGGAGCACCCATTTCATAATTTGAAACTCATTCTTTTCCTTTTTTAAGTTGAATTTAGAAGTGGAAGTGCATTAGTATAATTTTTTTAAAAAAAACCTTATATATATAACCATATATTGCTATTTGTCCTTTAAATTTTAATTATCGACCCAGTATGTCCTTACCTGTAAATTTACCGAATATTTTAGAAATGTGGGCTGATAACACCAAATACATTGTATTTAATTTATCTTGCAGGGCCAGAAAAAGGCGGGGGTGGTTAAATTCTCTTTCGCGCTTTTATTTTTATCCGATAGAAGATGGGTCCTAAAAAATAGGCATATGCATTTAAATAGAAAATTTGGCATGACCTCAAGGGGGTTTATTTATCAGTAAATAACTTATTTTTTAATTAGATTTTACAGACTGTGGAAGTACAGAAACTACATATGGCCTCAAATATATGATGAATCAACTTCAACCTTTAAAGTATATTAGATACACACGCTTTTCTATATAACTAAAAATTAAAATAAAATGTATACCTACTTACAAATATAGTATAACAAAAATATTTTTTTAAACTCTTATTAATAAATAAAATAATTAGATTTTTGTATATTATTAAATTTCGTAACTTCTTATACCTAAGATATCACCTCCAAATATTGAATTTACACTACCATCACCTATGTTGGGAACAAGTTTTCCAGAGATTTTTAATGCTCCATGGAATCTAATAGTTAGAAGCTCCTTTGAAGATCTTACTCTATCTCAAGATATATCGGTTATTTGATGTTTTGTATTTTAAATTTATATATTATAGTTAGGGTTAAAAATACGATTGGATTTTTATTTCTCTAAGGTCGGTCTTAGCGAATTACATATCGTTCGTTTCTAAATTAAGGTTTAAGCCAGTGTTTATAGGAGGAATATACTATATTTTGATTATTTTTTATATTTAAAGACGGTTATGATTACAACTGCGAAAAGTCGGAAGAAACAAAAAGAACTATTTATTGAAAGATTAAAACAATCTCAGAAAGATAATCTCAAGAAAAATAGAGAGAATTGCCAAATAACAGCCATCGCTTACTTGCAACAGGCCTCTTTCGATCAACTCATAAATAGAAGTGGTCTCGAACAAGATGATGGTCATTATTTTATATTTATAAAATTAAATATTGGTATATAAATAAAATTATAATGAGAGAAATATTAAAGAACAAATAATGCTAATCGAAGGCTAAATTACTGCATCAACTAAAAAGACCATTATGATTTTTCAGTGTAATAGTGTTTTAAATGAGGATATGTTAGTATAATCCGCTATGTTTATAAAAATTTAGAAATATATAATTTCATTGAATAAATAATAAATATTGCATGTTTTAATATTTTAAACCATTCTAATTTTAATGAACAATTAGATTTGTTTTGAATATCTTTAAATTAATTACATTTAACATAATTTTATAATGAAATAATTCATATTATATAACCATATCCCAATCATAAATTATAATATAATAATAAAAAGGTGCTCATTTTATACAAGTTCCCAAAAAACATGAATGGATTATATTTTAAAATAGTTATTTGAATATTTTGTTTTAAAAAATAAAATTCCTTATATTCTAATGTGAGGGATCTTATTATACCCCTTATATTTTAAAAAAAATTTTAAGTTCCGCTTGACATATGTCCAAGGGATGAATATTCATCGGATTAAAGTTTACATTTTTTGGAAATAAAGAGACGCATGTAAAGTCCCAAATTAAGAATTTACCTAAAGACGTCCTTAAGCCATCATCTGATGTTTTTTAAAAATACATTTAAAGATTATTTGCTATTAAAATATTACTCAAATGATTTTTAAAAAACTTTAATTATTTCTTAATTTGTTTCTGTCTATGGTCCCTAATGACTCGCTGAAAGTGCGAAAGGACGAATACTCATTATTTAACTATTCATTCATACAAAGAAGGAACGCTAATTAAAATTAACAGAAGCATGGTTTAGAATATTAAATCTAAGTGTGGAGATTACAAGTAAAATCAAGAAAAACGAATGAAACCTATGATCTGTGTCTACTTAAATTAAGAGAAGAAGATATCTGGAATAAGTATGATTTAGCCCGGAAACCTGTCTCAAAATTTATTTATTTAAGAAGAATTCATACACTAATTTGTTCATTTTATGACTTTCGTTTATTATTTCTTTATTTTCTCGTAGGCCAAATAACAGCCTTTAAAAAGAGAACAAAAGGGCATTGAATTGGACTTCCTAAATGGAAATCTAATATTTAACAATAAAAATAGCTTTGAAAGAAAATACAGTAATTAAGAATATTCTCAAATGTATAATTATCCCAACTTACCTGATTGTGGTGTAGCTGGATTATGTTTCATTGATGTTAAAATCTCAAACTACTTTAAAAAAATTATTTAATAAAGAATGTTATTCTTTTTTCGCAACACAATATACAACTTTAGAAGGATAAAGCCCTATGCCATTCATCAAAATTCAAGAAAATGGTTGTTAGAATAATAGATTAAATGTATTGAAAAAATCTTCATCAAGTCCGACCTTAATTAAATCGTGAATATATTGGGAAATAAATATTCATCAAGCAAACGATGATGCAATTATATTATAAAACCTCCTTAAACTGTTAAATTTGTTAATTTATGTGATAATCAATTTGATTTTGTAATGTTATTTTTTATGAATATTATATTTAAAAAATAAATTCCCTGGATTATTTTATGCCTAAAATTATAGCGCCCTTTAATTCGGCTCAAAACCTGGTCAGGGCTTGGCCTGTCTCAGGCTATAAAAATTTATAAATCATATTTATTTTTTTAATAATAATTCTAAGAAATAAAATATAAAATTAAGTCTTCACCTATGTGATTAAAATTAATGATAATTAATATATAAAAAGATTTTGAACCGGGCTCAGGCCTGAAACAAAATAAAAATTTTAAGCTTAGGAGGGCTTTGCATTAAAAGTTAATTAAAATGTTGGGCTGGGCTTAAATCAAAGAAAATCGAATTTGCAGGGCTATGTAATATAAATTAAAATTTAAGCAATACGGTGGATGTTTTACTCTTTTACGATATAGTAATTTTATTTTAAGAAATATAACTAATTTTATCATTGGATACCATATCATTAGAACTCCAAAATAAAGTAAACCGGGATTTTTACTTATTATACTATAGTCACTATTTAAAATTTAGTAAATACCCTTTACTATAGTTGCTATTTAGAATTAAGTAAAAGTAGTTCTTTTTACTATTTACCAACCATCTTAAGTAAGATGGCAAGACCTTTGAAGTAAGATGGCAAATATACAATTTAACTCACAAAACACAAAATTTTAATTTTTAATGTAATAATGAACAGATATTATTTAGAAATTATAAATATTTATTTGTTAAAAAATTCACATATGGACACAAATAAAATGGATCATTCTTAGCACAACTTGAATATGCATATTCAGGGAATTTGATGTACTTTATCCAGTCTTTGCTTTTTATATTAAGGTCTTAAGTTTTAACGCATTACATAATTCTAATTTTTAATTTTATTATCGTTTTTAGATTTTAATAAATTTTTCCTATGCCATTTAATGTTCTTTTATTTGTTATTTAAACCCCTAACGTTAAGCCCCGGGAATAGTGAGTTAATGGCTATGGAAATATTTCTAGATAAGCTAAAAACTTTGGACCAAGTTTAATTTGTAAATTAGAGCAAAAAATACTTATAAGAAAAGTTGTTGAAAGTTAAAAATTGTTTTTAATCAGTATTTTTTGAATAAGGAGCTCCCGGCACTAAATGAATATGAAACTAGATAGTATGTATAGAAATAATCCCTTGACCAAATTTAAAACAATTAGCCTTAAAGATGAAAAAGTTATAACCTTTTATCCCCATCTTTCGGATAGCCCTGGTTTCCTCTAAAATATTTTTTTTTATTTTGAAAAATGGGGGGAAACTGGAGCACAGCGTGAACCGGATGAAAAAGCAAATGCCAATTACTTTTTAATCATTTGGAGTTAAATAATTTAAATTTGGTCGGAATGCATTTTTATATAAATTTTCTACCATAGTTTACCTAGAATTGGGAGCTCTGCAATCAAAAGATATTTTTAAATAAACAGTTTTGTGCACAAATTTAGGACAAGTTTATAAACTATGGAAGAACAAACTCTCAGAGTTTTTTTTTATTATATTGCTAATGAAGCTATTCTATTAGTTTTAGCCTAACAAAATTTCTATTGACAAGATAAAGAATCACTGTTGATATAACTCAGATATATTATTATAAAAAATTAAAGTAGTCGTTTTTTTAATTGAAATAGGGTGGTAGATTATTAGGTAAGAAGTAAATAGCTATCGGGCCATAAATAAAACTTACAAAAAATCAATTCCCTTAAAAAAAATCAAAGAGAAAGTAAATGAGGGATTCATTTTTTTTCTAGATTAATAGAGATTATTATATAGGTTTCTTCTATAAATATATTAATGAAGTGGTCATTGTAAAAAGGAGAGCCCTTTCCCTTTCATGAAAAAAATATGGTTGGCCCCCCATTTTCTTTGAAAAATAGTTTTCTTAGATGAAGATCAATTTTAAAAAACTCTAATCTGACATAGATAATTGATCTATTTTCAAACTTTTGAGTGATTAGCCTATCAAGGTTTGAATGCTATTTTTATTTATACTATTTAAATCGTTTTTTACTCAAATGTTTATATTAATTAGAAAATGAAGATAAATTTGATATGGTAACGACGGTTAATTGCAAAATTTCTAACACGATATTTCCATCTTCCTTGAGTAGTATTTTTATCAAGCTGTTAACTTTTCTTCACGATGAAGACTTGCATTTTAATGTGGCCTCCATAAAAAGTTTTTTTAATTAAATATTTTATCAAATTTTAAACATTACATTTCCTAAGTTATCCGATATATATATACTACTACATCAAATTTTTACTGTAATCATATATATATATATACTATATCTCGTTAATATGAATCCATATCAGTTAAATATAAACTATTACACGTATAATTTTTTAGAGCATTCGAAGTAGGATAGCTGAATCATTATTTGTCAATTGGAGAGTAAAATTTTTATTTATTAATTAAACATCAATTTTAAAAGAATGACCACGATAATTATTAATGTTAAAATACAAAATAACTCATAATTAATAAAATCAACCCGAATAAAAAATCAAATGAATTATAAAACAAAAAAGAAAACAATAAGTAAAAAAAATAACACTGTTGATGTTAAATGTTGGGTAGAAGAATAAAAGGGAAGGATAAAGGAAATTCTCAAATTAGTAGTGTTGTTAAACTGCCTGATTTAACTAATTTAATATTAAGAATTTCGCCAAAATAATATTACGCAAGCCTTGAGATTAATTTTTCTGCCATTATGAGCAAAATCGCCATAATATTCCCTGGCTAAACTATTGGGTTAGTCATTTTTAAAAATCGAACCATTTAACAACACTACAAATGCGCATCCCTATGAAAAATCTATTTTTAAGCACTCCCCTAATATAATATAATCTGAGCACGCTTAAAAAAATATTTTTACATTTATATACCATTGTTATTTTCTGATATTCATCCAAACATGCCAAAATACATTTCGGATGAAATTAAAATTTCAAAAACGCGCTCATAAAATGATTTAAGGTAAACAAAATAACACATTGACAAAAAACCATCTTGATAAGTTTTAAATAATTAATTTAACATTAAATTAATTGATTGCACAATGTTTTAATCAAAAATATTTTTCACTTTTTTTAAAATTATACACAGAGATCTCATTTAATAGATGAACCGTTTACGCTATATTATAGTTTGGATACATTAAAAGATTGGGGCTTAGAAACAACTAATAAAAAAGATATATTAAACTGTACAAATATTCAACACAAAAAAAAAATGTAAAATCTATGAAAATATTTTTCTTAACAAAACTAAATAATTTCTAAAAAACTGCACAACTAATCAAAAAAATACAGCGTATATAATTTTATTTTAATTTCAAAATAATTATATTTTACAATTAAAATCAAGGGGTGTGTACGTTGTTATGACCTACCCTTGAATGGAGTATAAATACAAACACAAATTTATTCAAAAGAATATATTTAAAAAATAGACATTCATTGTTTTGCCAACTATTTAGTATATTGGATCCCCCAAACGTTTTAGTCTCTATCATCTAATAAAAAATTTTGATTTATGTTTTTGCTTTCATCCTTGGACCATCTGGGAAAACGTTGTAAATAAAGAAGTTCCAGAACAATATATATATTCATTGAGGACATGTCCATAGATTGACGTGGATTAAGTGCCATAAAACACTAAATGAGTTTTTTGGGGGTCTAATTATGACATTACTTTTTAAAATATAAAATTAATATTGGGAAAATCTGCTTGGAATTGGAAAAATAAAAAATTATAGCTTGATTATTTATAAGATAAAATTATAGGCACATAATTTTTACTATAATCTTTTATTTAGTTTAAACTATTTCCTTGTTTAAATAATATATATCTATTATATAAACTTGCTAAAGTTAAAAAACTCTGTACTTTTATATTGTGGAATTGCATGTGCGAAGACCCTCTATATTTTATGCGATCTATATTTGAAAGATTGACGAAAAAGGAAATGGTATTAAAAAAATTATTCCGCATACAATTTATAATATTTTAGCCATTTCTAATAAATTGGGTACAAACTTTGTTGAATCAATTTTCCCAGCTTCCTCCATACTTTGCCTACATCATATTCAATTATATGGTATGAATTTACTTTAAATCAGAAAATGATAATACATTTATTGTTATATTTATATATAGTTAGGATATTGTATGTACTGCATCAGATTTTCAAAACAGCCAGAAGCTCAGATTCTAAGCTGTTCTATATTATGGCAGTTATGCCCATTTGTGAATGGAATTTCAATTAAGGATCTTAGCCAAACATTAAGAAGAGAACAATGCGACGTTTATAAATTATAATGATATTTTTTCTTTTAAAGTCTTGACATACTTAATTATATATATAGTAAATTAGAGACCTCTAGGCCTGGCCCGAAACAGGTAAAAATAGTATGATTAAAAAAATCCGATCCAGTTTAATTAAAAATCTGGGGCAGGACGGACATTAAAAAAAATGAATTCAAAATTTTTCAATTAATCAGTTGGAAAATGTTTGAAAATAATCAATTTATTTCTCTTTGAAACGATTCGAAAAAATTAAGTCATAATTATTCAAAATAACGAAATTAATTTTCGGCCGGTTAAAAATGAACGAATTTGGGTGGACCTAAAATTTTGTTGACTTTTGCAGGTCACTGATATATATTGTCCAAAATAGGAATTCATCTTTAAAATAAAATTAAAAGCCTCTAAATTTTTATGACTTTATTACTATTGACTTATTTTTCCATACAAAATATATCATATTTATAATTGTTAGATGGCTTTGTCTATTTTAGCCTTCAATCCGCCTACCAAAAAAATTATAGTTCATGCCCCTGATTTAACGAGCATTCCTACACAATTATCAGTAACGGAGGTATAGTTTTAAAAAAAATTTTTGAGTAATACTAGCATAATCCATCAAAACTATATAAATGTTCTATCGATTTCTCAAAATATATAAGAATATTTTCAATTAAATAATATTTTCAATATAATTATACTATAAATATATTTAATATCGAATGGACACTGAAATTCACTAAAATTAAAATTTAAATGCCATTTTACTAAGTGAAAATATATTCTCAGCTCAATGAGTGATCTAAAAAGTCATTATCTTGAAGGGGGTTTGAATGTGAAATTTTGATATAACTATAAAGAAAATAATATTTATTTGTATAAATACTTGTATTAGCGACTAAGGGGTTCCTCATGCATGTGACTCATCGAGATAGTGAATAATTCCAGAAAATCGTAGTGAATATTGTGCACGAAAAATTGCGAATAGCAAAAGGAAAGTCGATAAATAGCTGAGGGCCATGAAATTCACTATTTTAGGTGATTTTGAAATCTATCACAATCCCGATGAGTCACGCTTATGAGGCACATCTTCAATTAGCGAATTAATTTTAAAAAAAACAGCTTTAATGTTGTTAAAAAGCAAGCTCGTGCAAAACGGACTTATTTTAGAGAATTTTTATGTTAAAATTTAGACAGGTATGACTCGAATTCTAGTCAAGTCGAGGTTAATGTTTATGATTAAATCCTCAAATGAATCGAGCCGTTTATCACAAGCACGACCTGGCTTCTTAACAATGCTAAAATTAGATTCTTTATTTATAATTCATATTTTATTTTTGAACAAAGTTAACAAAATTTAAAGATGTTTTGCAGGAAAGCTTGGAATTCTTTAACATACAAAAGGTCGAGTACCTTAACTACCAATTGATCAATACTAAAACCAGTATATATATATTACAATATGTTTTAAAAATATTCAATAATTATATAATTTAAATTTTAGTCACTAGTGTTGTTAAACGGATCTATTTGAATCGATTCCATAAAACGGCTAATTCACTTTATAAGATTGAAATACCCATGCCTCAAAATTTCACTAATAGATGTGCAAACCTTTCAGCCATCTATGAGCAAAATTTTCAAGTTCGCGTAATATTTTTCTGGATAAAGTATTGAGTTACCCATTTTAATAAATCGGATTAAATTATCGATTACCTTGTGATCAATTTCATTCAAAATTTAACTTTTACATCTTTCCCCACATATCCTCTACATCTATCTGAAATCATAATATCTCTATATTTTGGGAAAGATCTCCCCATCTTCTTTTCTTTTTCGATATATTATTGCACCAACTATCAACTCTTACTACATAATCTTTTCCCCATTTTTTTGCCTCAATTTAATGTAATATGAGGTCATAAAAAAATTACCATCAAATTCCAGAATTTATCGTATTAGAATAATATTCATCATAAAAACATACCTTTATTTTAATTAATATTACAGAAAGGATGCACAATCCGAACTCATTTGTTAGAGATTATTATATTTTCAAAAAATCGATTTATCCGCAGTTGAGCTTGCTCAGGATTGATCCCTCTAGCGCTGATATAATTATCGAAAAAGAAGTTATTATTTAAAATAAACAATTAATATTTTTTTATTCACATTTTTATTGTTATTCATGTTTACGAAAATAAATTAATATGCGGAAGACGCGTCTAAATGAAAAATAAAATTTCTATCTAATATCAATCAAAGTGAATTTAATTATAATAAATAGCAAAACTTTAATATCATCTATTTTTAATAAATTTTAAGTCTAATGTAAATAGCACAGATAATGATTAACATAATAGATGACGTTTTTTATCAAAAACATTAAAATAACAAATATAAGGTACTGCCTGATCCTATTTGGATTTACAATTACATTTATTTGATATAAATTTTATAGCCAAATATTCTAAGGGGTGGGAGGGGGGCAGAATTCATTTGCCTTCAATAAAAGGGAGGGGAAGATATAAATGTTGGGGGGCGGGGGTTGAATCTAGAACAGAGTATAGTAAAAAAAATAAAAATGAAAACTATTTAGCGCAGTTAGAATTTATACAAGTTCGTGGATAATTTTTAGATTACGGTTAGTATATTGATTATCCCTAGCCTAAATTCTATGCTGGAAAGGGTTTAATTAAGATTTTGTTGGTAGGAACAAATGATGACGCATTATAAGATCTTTTTTACTAATATCATATGGTTATTATATTATAATTGGTGAACGAATATCACGGCCTTCGGGATTTTTCCTAAGGTAGAGGTAGATTTTGGAGGGAGGTTTGCCTCCAAATAATTTTCTGTAGTGATTGGCGTAACAATAATAAACTCACATTAAAGTTGTTTTTATACAGGCATAAACGTAAATTATATGAATTTTACTACTATTCTACATACAAAGTTATCAAGGGTAGTGTGATTTTAATTAAAATATAAATGATATTTATGCGTTAATTTTATTTCAAAAATATTATATTTTTATACAACTTTTTTACTATTTTTATTTAGGAATTGTTAACCATTGTCAATGAAATTAACAGAATTCAGTTAGTGATGATATTCTTAAATTATTCAAGGAAGGATAGTGTAATTATTTTTAAAATAATTTTTCGAATAAATGCCCTAATTTATATTACATACTATATTTTTTTAGTTACAAAATACGACCTACTACTTGTGTGAAGAACTCAAAAAAAATCCTATATTTCTGAGAAAGGCATTGAATTCCAATTGCACACTATACGGAAATGGACTTTTAGGAAAAGTTACATTTCTATTTATTATTTGGTTCCCGTTCTAAATCCTAAAAAAATCGCTAAAACAAATTTTTAAATTGGGTATTTACTTATATCTATTAGAAAATTTATAGTAAATTTGAAATAATATTAATGGATTCTATGGAAGAAACACTTGTATTTAAATTGAGTTTTTTAAAAAATGGCTTAAAATAGGGGAAATATTATTAATATTACCAAAAGTTTTTCCCAATTATGAGAACATTGATAATATTTCATTCATTTAGCGATTTTTATAAAAACTCAATTTAAATGCAAAAGCTTACTTTCCTGGCATCTTTTAATAATATTTTCAATATTATTTAAAAAAAATTTCTAGGAGATATAAGCGAGATTCCCAATTTTTAGCGGTTTTTGTTTTCATGCAATTATAATAATCCCCTTCCCTCTTTCTTTTACTGAATTCTTATTAAAATGATATATAATCAATTTAGATTTATCATGAAATTTTATATTCACTAATATTTAGGAAAATATGTCGTTCGATATTCTTCAATCTTACAGCTGGATAAAAGTAATATGAGAATTTTGTGAATTTTTTTACAAAATGTTTTATAAGAAATTTTTATTATATTAAAATAGAGTAAGCTTAAGAATTGAGGTTTTAAAGGAAATATGTCAAGTTATGTGAATTAGAAAATAAACATTTACTCTAGTTGTTTTTTAGAATTGTTATCACCTAGGATTAGCGTTTATTAATTATGTTAGAGTTTTTATTTCTAACACTGGCATTTTTTTATAATTTTTAGAAATGAAAAACTACATATTTCTATATTTTATTTTGCTTTTATTTATATACTTTTGTAATCCCTGCTCACTTGCGCAGTTTAATTTTACATGATTACATTTAAAAAAGCAATAAACTTAATAAATGAAATCAATTGTCATTTAGTTTTTACTTTCAAATGTTTTGTGAAATACATGAATTATTATTTTTTTTAAAAAAAAATGAAGCTAATAGATTCGATATTCTATTCAGGAAACACATTATTATCGACACTGGAAGAGTTTCAAACTTTTATTCCAGCTCTCATGGGCATCATATTGCTTTATAACGAAAATTTCGCCATAATGCGCTGTGGTTTAGCATCACTTATAAATTTCCCCCTCTCATATAAACATGTATTTGGAAACTACGGGTCATTATTATAAAGAGAATTATAAATGAAAACAGAAAATATTGTTAAAAAATTTGTAAAATTATATGATGTCATATTTATAGGTTATATATTGCCATTGAAAATATGTATTTCCAATTTTTTTTTAAATAACTTGATAATTGTAAGTATTCTAATAGAAATAATTATTGTCACAATTAAGAATATGTGTAATTATAACTTCAATAAGGATTTAAGATTGTATTTAAAGTTTATTTCATTAATATATTGACTGGTTATTTTATGTATTACTTCCTTACAAAAAAAATTATTATCCTAGATATATATTGCTTGTTCCGATGTTGTTACGAATCTATGCTTATGGGATCAAAAACTTACACACTAAGAATACCGTAGAAAATCTTTTCAAAGTTTATTACACCATGCATAGGAAGCCTTTTGTTTTACAAGTGCGATATAAATAATTTCTGAATAAACTTCATTTTAAATATAGTATACAATAAACTTCCCGAATTTTAAGTGTAAGAATAAGCTATATATAGGTGTTTAAAGCTGTTATCTAATCATTTACATTTAAACAATCTTCTTATTTTTAACTATTGTATTATAATCAGGGACATGGAACGGAACTTTGGGTAAACTTATGGAACGGAACCGGAACGTGTATTCGGGAAAGGTCAAAGAACGTTCCTGAAAATTATATAAACTTCTTATTTATTTCTATAATTTAAATAAATAAACATCTTTAATCCATCTAACAGGTGCCTGCATATATTAAGTTCTTTTTATTTTCTTTTATAATTTTTTTTATCCAGGAAAGTGTTGAACGCTGTTTTTCGACATTCAAATTTATACTAACACAACAAAAAACTAATATATATGATAATCGCTTAGAAAATATATTATTGCTTAGATGTAATAATTGATAGATTAATTAAAATGTATAGATTTAAAAAATATATTTAAATATTTTTCCATGAACGTTCTGGAATGTTCCAAAATCTGGAACGGAACAATTTTTTTGAACGGAGCGGGAACGCCTATTCTGGGTCCCTGATTATAATTTAATATTCATAAATATCTTCTAAAGGTGTTAGCCTGTATCAGTCAAATAATGGAAGAAAACGAAATGAATGACAAGAGCTATTATGTTGATCCGATGATTATGTATGATTTAATCTTTTCAATGGAAAAGAATTTCAACATTGACTTAAGCTCTATATTAGAATTATTGCAAAATGGACAATCCTCAATAGAATGTTTGGTGAGTTGTTTATATGTATAATATTTTTTTTTGATAAAGTCTATTAGATCTTATTGTAAAGAATAACGTTTAATTTTCAAATTTAATAAAAAATATTTAACTCTTCTTTAAGTTTTGTAATAAGTGCATAGATATATTAAAATAATAATGATTAAAATATAACCAACATAAATTTTTAAAAAACCTGCAGAATTTATAAAATATAAGTATAAATGATCTAAATTCTAATGTGTAGGCGATACAAAATAAATTGTTATTATATATTATAGGACATATGCTACACCAATGATTCGGATGGGTTAAACTTCATAGAAATCATATCTATGTGCATAACTGTAATTAGCTATAATTCGGAATCCGGAAGAAGTTTGCAAATGCTTGTAAGATATAATTATGTTTTTTAAAAATATTTCTTATGTGTATTTTTATAAGATAATTTTAAGAGATGTCATACCGTATTATCACAAATATCTGGTCAATAAATCAAAGCAAAACAGCAATGATAAAAAAATAATCGCCGAGGAATTATCAGCTTATAAAACCATTTACACTGATATTCAAACACTCCTGAGGAACGTTGAAAGTTTTAGCCGGTAATTTCTGCAAATTTATTCAGAATTTAAATTGAAAATTAATTTTTTTTTTTAAAAAAACAAGGCCATTTGTGGGACACATGCCAAGGGAGAATGATCGAAAATTATTTCACAATAGAAACATTTTTGGTCACTTTAGAGACAAAGAAAAGTTTTCTGAGAACTGGAAAAAGTTAAATATACTTATAATTATGTTATACATGAAAGATAATAGAGGAATTATGTATTATGTTTTATAGAAATAAGAACATGAGTATAAATACTTGGCTGTCTGAATTTTATTTAGATATGGCAATATGCATATTACATTGAATTGGCGTTATCCTGTTAGAACAATTAAATTTAAATGTTTTTTCGCTGGGCTGTGAACTCAAGTTAGGGTGCAGACATTTAAAATTGTTTGTTTGGACATTCTAAGAAGACCAAATAAGAACCTATTTATGGACATCCAATCGAACCGGGGATAATATGGACCCAGAGCGAGTTGAGACCCCCCTTTAAAAAATAGGTTATAAGTTCATGTTATCAAAGTTTCCGTTAAATAGAGTTTAAAATTCCTGAATCTTAATTTGAATTCACAGCTCTTTAGGTAACAATTTAATATGAATTTGTTTCAAATAGAAGATATCAAGATCTAAAAGATAGTTTTATAAAATGATCCTCGCATTCTGACTATGACTATATCATAAAACATATGGTTGATGTCCGAATTATTAGCTTCAAAGAATTTTCTTATATTTTTAACAAAAACATTTCCATTTTTTTTTCTTCTGCAGACAAACATTCAACAATGTGATGAAAAGTGAAAAATTTGACCAAAAATATTTGTTGCAGCAATACGACAATTACACCAAGCCTCGAGATCTATTATTGTCATTTGTTTCCGATTTTTTATACATTAATCAATGCCGAATTTCAGAGCTAATACAGTTGGGATTAGTCGATAAACAAAATTTTAATAAATCAAATTTTCAATTGGATCAGCATTCAAATACTGTAAATCATTATAGTAATCGATGTAAATTGGAAATAATTTTAATTATATCACATCCTTAATTTTAAAAGGAAAAAAAGATAGATAATAAAATAAACAGATTTTTTAAAATATTACCTATATATAGAACGTTATAATATATAAGGTTTATCTTTATATATCTTAGGTTGGTAGGGTCATAAAGAATTTTTATTTGGAAGAAGTATGGGACGGTACAATATTTTGGGGATTTGTATATTTAATCTGGTGGATACTTTAAAGCAAACTCATAAGACTCTTTATATTAGTTTAATGTCACAACTTTAGAAATATGAATTAAGAAATATTTAGTATAACTATATACATGACCATGATAATATTTAGATAAATTAATTGCTGTAAACGACAGGTATTTAACTCCAAACTCCAACTTAATTTATAATTATTTATTATTTATCAAAACATTCTTAGAAAATAGCGGAAATTGTAAATGCATTATTGAGGCTAGTTCCATACGACATACAAACATTAACAAGATATGGAATTAACAGGTTATCCAATAAATTACATCAATTAATTTTTATATATAACCTGATAAGGATGATTTCTCAAAATATTTTTTGCCCGTTAAGTAGGCTGTTGATAATTATAATTAATTTAATTATGATGGAGAGCCAAAAACTATATTGTACTAGGGGTAACCATGTATAATATTTGAAGGTTTTGCTGAATCAAAATCAGAGTTGTTAAATCATCGCGATACTATCTATATAAATTTTTTGATACATATCGGTATTGAAATATTTTCTTTTCATTCTATCTTAATTCAGTTTCCTTACCAACAATCTTTTCATTCAATTTAAAATATAAAAAAATATCCAATTTTAACATATTTTTTTAATGGAAATAATTCTAATTTTGATAGAATAAATTAATTGATAATTACGATACCATTATTCAATTGTAGTTTTTTTACAAATTTCAATTTAAAAATTTTTTAGAAAAGCAATTCGAATTTTTTTAATAATTAATATCTTTTCCAGGAAGATTAACAGCAATTGATTAAAGTGATAGTAGAATTCTTTAATAAATAAAAATTCAAAAATAAGAAATTCACAATTATTAGAGCCAATGCTACAATTGGATAAAACAAAACTTTGAAAATTATTATTTCACACAGATTAAAGAGACTATTTTTAATAATTATTTTTAAAATATAATACTACTATTCCATCTAGCCCACCAGTAGAACCCAGGGGCAGACTGGCGACGCTACGGCCTCGTTGGCATTTTTTATAGCGGCCTCATGGGGGTATCGCCCCCATACCCACATTTTGCGGGCATTCGGCCAATTTTAGTCCGGTCTTAGAACGGGTTCCCATAAATGGCTTCTTTGATTTACATGATTTTTATTACTTCTTATTTTTGGAAAATAAGTTCAAGCGTTTTACATATTTAGTAAAAAAAAAAGAATAGTATTATACGCTAATCATATATTTTATTTTAAAAAAATGCACATCTAAAATCATATCCATTACCTATACAAAATAATATTCATTGAAAATATATATTTTATATTAGATTTACAACGATATTGCACTATAAAATCAAATCATACATCACATGTTAAATATAAAAAAAATGCATACTCAATATATTAAATCAATTAATTATAAATATAAAATAATTGCAGTTATACAATATTACAGAGAATAAAATTGCTGCACTTTTATAAAATCAGGCACCGATCATATTGTAAATTATATTAATAAGATTCTAATAAAAGAATTAAGAAAATATATAATTTTTACCTTAATAAATCTCTCATTAACTTTGAACCTTTGCGCAAATATACAGAATATCTTCTAGTTCAATCTACGCTAATAGTTCTCGTTCAACTGACAACATTAAAAATGCTTCTAATTTTTCTTGGTCAATATTAGCTCTCAGCTTATTTTTATAATTTTTAATTTACTAAATGCTTTCTCGCAATTAACCTGCGTAAATGATAAAGTTAAAATGTATTCATATGCCAAAAATAAATTAGTGTCATGCATAATCTTTTAAGAATTTCATACACGCATATTAAACACTTGTTACATTTATTATCACACTCTGATTTATTATCATATTGTAATATTCCATCTTCTTCATTTGACTCCTCACTTGTACATGCGATATCATCGTCCGTTTCATTTAATTCTGCTACCAAATCTTTGAATACACTGGCAAATGAACATAATTCGTTATGAAATTTAACACTCAATATATATGCCAATTGTGCCAGTTTTTCCAAAGCCTTTTCAGAAATACCTTTACTATTTATTTCATCAAAATGTCTTGGATGCAAATATTGCACATTTAAGATAAGCTCTCAATTCGCAGAAAGTAGTTCCACAAGCTGTTTATAATTTGATCAATTATAGGACGAAATAGTTCGAACCTATAAAGGTCTATCTATTATTGAGGACGTTCATCTTGGTATTTGTCACTATATATTCTCTTAGCTCGTCCTATTCGATCTTTTTACAGAGCATTTTGTACTCAGGTACTCTCCGGGAGCTATAAATATGAAAATGTTTCATTTAAATTAGCAGCCATTTTATTGCTTTATTTTGAATCGTTGTAATAATCGATGATGCAGAAGATTTCGCATCTTCTTTCATTTTCCATGCTGACAAAGTACCTAATTTTTTAGTTTGAAGATATGACAGTGGCCTCATTATTTTAAAAATTTCCAAATATATTATAGCTGTACTTAGAGTCTTAGATTTACATAGATTATCAAGTTTTTGTCTCAAATTATTTATTATCTATTATAAATTGAACTGCCTTTATTGCTATTGGGAACAAGCTCTCTTTACCATATATCCATCTAAGGGCTTTTTCACGTGCCCACCTCCTTATCTCACCTATTTTTTGCAGCCTTCTCAACTTATTTTGGCCAGATGAATTATTCTGTTTCATCCAAGCATCCATCCTTTTGTCTGATTCACCGACCTGGATTTTATTTGATTTCAATGAATTGAGAACAAGAAATGTTGGCTATATTATTTCTACAATAAATCAATGTATAAAAATATAATATAATAAATTAATCAAAACTTAGCTTTTACTCTACTCAAACGGAAGCGTTTTCACTTCATTTGAAAAAAAATAAAGAAAAGAACGTGGTAATGATATGTAGCGTCAAGCGACGTTATTAATATATTATGCATTAAAATATAGTAAACGACATGCATGACAATTCTCAAGGAATGTGATATTCAAATCATAGAGATATCATTAAAAATAAATAAATGATAAGAGAAAATAATGTGAACATAATAATAATTTTTTCTAATCGGCCTCTATTTTGATATTTTCCTCTGATCGGCCTCAAAAAGCGACATTTTCTCGCGGCCTCGTGGGCAAAATGCCCACCGGGTCTTATGGCCAGTCCGCCCCTGGTAGAACCTGTATTCAGTATTGCAAATACATGCCTGAGAGGAGTAAATGTCTCTCTGATAAAACTTTGAAAATTATTGTTAGCAAATAAAATAATTAGTATTAATAATTATTAATGTTATTTGTGAATATAATATAATGTAAAAGAATGATGATAATAACTAATCTTTAAAAAAACCTACTCGATGAGGGCCTAAAAAAAATTGTATCGATATGCATTTTTTTATTTTATTGATTTAGATATTTTATTGTAAGATAAACAACTCTGATCAAAAGTTTGATAATATATATAACATTTCACAACTGTGTATTTTAGTCACAATAAAGCGATAAACTTTTATATTTCAGTTATTTGACTAAAGTAATGCCAACAATAGATTGGTCATTGGATATTTCGAGGCCATCGTTAAATATTATTTACAAAAGGCTGGACAAGATGCTCTTAAAAATAAATAAGAATACAAATTCAAATAAAGTTTATTTTGATTACCATCCATATCAATATTATATAAAAAAAAATTTAAAAAACGAAATTATTAATTAATTCAATAAGTTTAATATTTCTTAAGGACTCATTACTATATTTAATATATAATCAAGAATTATTATGAGCTGGATTATCTAACCGTCCCAATCAGAAGTAAATTCTATTTTAATTAAGTTCATTTGTAATTAATTATTTATGTATATAATTTGTGTATTTGATATTCCCAGGTATTATAGGCACAATGAAAAAATATCCTTTCATAGCCCATTTGCCAACTATTAAAGTATTTTATATGATATTTTATATTTGTGTTTTCATTTTTTAATTTATAAAATTTTAAAAAGTGTTATTAGTATATAGATTTTCAATTGCTACAAAGAATTTTAAATATTTCAAGGCAAATGCAAAATGTTTTAATATCATTATTATTATTTAAATATTAGTCCATCACTCAAACTTGCATAAATATGGTTCATCAATATACTTTCAGTTGCACACCTTACGATAAAGTTGAAGATGTTTTTGATCTAAACGGGGATTCATTCATGTCTCTCACTTTAGACCTGGCCATTGAGCATATGTCCATTTTGAGAGTTTAATAATTGATTTATGATTATGTCACAGATAATTTGCAAACAAAAAAAAATTGTAAATTTTAATTTTTGAACTAATTTAGTTTCTGTGCTTATATTTTTTTTCAATTTTTTATTAATATTCTTACCTTTAATTTTTATCTTTAAACTATAAAACTATAAGATCAGGCAAAAATAAAACAAGGTCATAAATTAAAATAAAATTTTATTTTCAAAAATTGAAATAAAACATTTAATTTTTTTTTAAAACTTGTAACACTTTAGCTAGCATAAGTGTAATAGATTATATAATGTATGAATTTTATTTCTTCTATTTTAATCAAATAAAGGAGAACTTTATAAATCTCGGAAACATTCCCAACTCTATGGCAAATACGTTATCTCACAAATTTGACAGCTATTTGTTTTTCTTTTATACACCTTTACTGCTTTATTACATCAAATGCGAATCGAGTAATTATTTTACTTTTCTATTTATTTAAATATATATAAAACGCCAAGGATGATCTCTTCCTTAGAGTAACTATTTTTTCTCATGCTAAATTATCTAAATACATCACAATTATATTATTGGGCATAGTGTTATCTCCCCTTATTTTCATGGCGGAGTACTTATTTGGAAAGCGATGACTTTTTTTTAAGAATATATACCAAATTTTTTCGTTTAAAAGTTATTTTTTATCCAAACTTAAATATTTTTTTTGAAGTAAACCAGTTTGTCATTGATTGATTTTTTATTAAATAATAAAATATCTGCAATAATTGAAGAAAAATTATTGGCATGCTTAGATGAAAAATGGTTTATAGCCAAGAATAAAATTGTTGCGCCTTAGATAAAATAAAACATACTTATTAAATTAGAATCCATGCTTCCAAAATAAAATAAAAATTATTTCGTTCACAAAAATTCGCATATTATTATCAAGCACTAATGCAATTAGAATGTTTTAAGTGAGCTTATTACGAGTATAAAAGAATATAAAACTGACTTTTAATTATCATTTTTAAACCACCTTATATAATATCTAACAACTACAGAAGAGTTGAATTGATTAATTTTAAACCACTTTTACACAAAACAATGTTAAGTTATTCTTTTTACCTGATGAAGTTATGTATTATGTATTTTTTAAATCTAATATAATAATTATAATTTCTCACCTATTAAATTTTTGAAAATATGTAATTAAAATTGTACATGCTACTTGGGCATAAATAATTTTTTTTTCCTATCAAAATATATTTAATCGTGAAAATTCTTATATGGTTTAAAAATTTTTTATCTTTCACATATAAAATCACTTCCCTATCAATAAGATATAAAATATAAGACGCTGAAAAACATTGCTGAATTTTAATTAGAATAACGACGGGGTCAAATAATGTTCACCATTATTTTTCAATGATAGAGAGACCTATGATTTAATTTTTTTTATATAGTATATAGGGTTATATATTAATTTTATAATAAAATTATTAAAAACGATTTTTGAATGCCTTTTAATATGTCTGTGGTGCTCAAAGGTAATTTTTATACTTCGGAAATTGGTTATGTTTATTAGTTAAATCTTGCATGTGAAACGCGGCTTATATATAATGATATTTAGATTGATAATAAAAAAAATATTTATCTGTAGACATGAGCCCTGTGCAGAACTTGAGAATATAAATTTTTCCAATCTTTAATTTTCTTGATAGAACTTAGCGACAATCAAACAAAAACTTATAACATAAATTTTATCCTTATTATAGAAAATTATGTATTATTTTAAAATTTATATAACTTTGTCAATTAAATAAAGAGTTACACCCTTTTTAATTAAAAAAAAAATTCTCTTGATAAAGAATTTGAAAGTTGACATAATTAATTAACAGGGTGTAGAGAGCGAATCTTTTATTAGCTTAAAATGATATTTGCAACAGACAAATTTCCGAAAGTTGATTTTCCCTTGCCTCCCCTGGCTATGCCCATGACACAATATTATTTATAATAAAGTATATAATATTTAATTATATTATTCAAAAATGACTATTATTATCTAAACACAATTTTTAGGCCTTGATTTAGACGAACATATTTTTTCTAACATTTTGAACGCCATAGTCAGGATATTAAGTCTGGATAATTTCCAAAATTTTTACAAGGAAAATCACCAAGGTAGTGTATCTCACGATAGACAAAATCTATCCAGCCAAGGGGCATATTATAACAATAATAATTCTAATATAAACAAATCTGGTGGATACACTATTAACACTTCTGACGAGGCATCATCGTTAGACGGAGAAACTTTGTGTCATGTTTGCTTATGGAGTATATTTTTATACCTATAATTTTTGTATTATATGAGAATATTAAGTATACAATTTTTTATTTAATTATATACATGATCAAGCATGATAAAAAAAATAATTAGAATGTAATATTCCTCAGATGTTTGTAACACATCTAACTCAAAATTATATATTTGAGAGTGGAAACTAGAGCCTTGCAAATTCACAATTTTAGATTTTGTTTATAAGATCAGTCAAAAGATTTTATATACAAAGCCGGCACTGACAAATATTTTTTTGGTGAAAAATACAATTTTAAGGCATTTTTATAAATTAAAACTAGTAATCACTCGGTACTAATAATCCCAGAGAAATTCTAAATTATCATCATATTTTAAATGAAAAAAGTGGAAACATAATTTTCTATTTTAAATTTTTATACCCAAGTACGCCCCGATTTTTTTTAGACCCAGGCCTGGCTCGACACCGACTTTGAGCTTCAGGCCAATTTTTAGGGCTCGAGTGGAAACTTATATTCACATTTAGATTAATTAAATATATTAATAACTAGAAATTTGTAAGTAGTTATATATTATTATTTTTTGGCAAGGTTTGAAAGTCGCAATACTCTTCAACGAAAATTTGACTCATAATTATACGTTTAAATTGTACAAAATTTTGTCAATGTTGGTTGTCATCTATAAAAGTTATATTCAATATTCACAAATATTTGATCCCCTATGATTATTTAATAGATACAGCCATGATGAGGGATTTCGAAAAATTCATTTATTCCTACAGACCAAATTTGTATTTAACCTATAGATACATAAAAAAGACGGTATTTTTTTTACTCACTTGATTTGTACATTTACTCATAATTAAAATTATTGAAAAATTATAACCACCCATTAACTATGATTTTGATAATAAAAAGATATTACAAAGTAACTTGCAAATGACTTACAATTAATTCTTCTTACTACAAATAGAAGGAACACTATTCAGAACTATTTTTTAGATTTGGTTTAAGAGGTTAATTATTTTATTAAGAATGCGTCTTTTGTCAATGATTTAGGTATTGTTTTAGGCCCTAACGCGACCCACTTTTTAGGACTGGGTTTAAAGTATTTCGAGTTTATATATCACTGATGAGGCCAAATATCAAACTTCATAGATTATATTAACAAAATTTTTACTTAAATGTTGGGTTTTTGTAAATATAATTTTCATAAGAGCCAACCTAGGATTTAAAAAAAGAATATAACATAAAATGAGAATGAAAAGATATATTTAAAAAGAAAAATTAGTATAGTCGTATGCTCGATAAAAAAAATTTAAGAAGATAGGATGATTCATATATTTCAGAAAAATTTTGCTTTATAGAAAAATATTTTTTTGTCCCAAATCTGCGTTTCTATAACAAAAAAAATCCAAAACTTCCAAGACTGACTTGGCCTAATATATTTTATAAATTTTAATATTTATTATTATTTCAAGTCAATTGATGCAAGAAAATCATCAGCTCCTGATATAGATGGTTTCAGGGAATCAATGTTTAAAAAGTTTGTAACCAAAAAGGAAATCATACGAGATTTGATCGAAGAATACTCCCATTTGAAAATTTTAGTCAATGAAAGGATACACGATAAGAGTAATTAATTTGCATTATATAACAAATTTTTTTAAAAAAGAGAAATATTTTTTTAACATCATAAATATTTTATAATATATCATATATAAAAATAAAAGTATGATACTTTATACTAATAATATCATATTATTCGGCGCTGTTCAAGCTAATGGAAAAAAATTAGTTTATGCAATATAAATGAAAAGCAGACCCTAAGATCCCTCTTTTAACTGGGATTAGCTTTGGGCACTTCTAAATTTATTATTTAATACTTTTTATAGCTAACCACCCGTTTTTCCCGTTAGCTTGGTGTGGTGTTTAAGTTATAAAAGGATTTATACGAATAAAATATAATTTTATTTTAACAAATTAAAAAGATCAAAAGATAATTTTACTTTAACAATAATATGTTTATATCTTTTTATCCTTAAACATTTAAAGTTAATACATTGCACTAGCATATTTCTTTTATGATTTTTAGATTGATTTTTTATTATTTGCACTTCGCTACGCAACACTTTATCACGTGACACCATCGTCATACTCCCGTGATCGCGATATTTGATAACCCGACACATGATAACACTACATTTAATTATTGACAATAGATTAATTATTTAAATAAATTCATGTGTCCTCAAATTTGTTAATCTAAAGGCGAAAATTTTGTGAGGTAAGGTAAATGTTAGAATATTTTCAAATATAGAACTTGGAATAGGAGAATTTTTTTACCTTACCTTGGGCCTGCCTTTTTAATAATAATTTTAAATTTTATCAAAAATTACATATTATTGAATCAAACAAGTCATTTATTGTTCATATTTTCAATCTCACTTTTCAAACGCTGTACATAATAAACAGCTTAATTAATGAAATAAAATTTGGGTAGAGTAAAACTTGCCTGACCATAAATACCTTTTAAGAAAATCCGAGCCTGAGAAAATTTGACATTTGCAGGCTTCTTGATTTAGGTATAAAAATAAATTATTTGTAAGGTTTTGAGAGGATTGTGTGAATTTTAAATTTAACAACTTCGTGAATATACAGTTTAAGTAAAGTATTTTACACCTTTAAAACAAATACAAATATAACTAATTCGTTTAGTTTTATAATAATTTTATTTATTCTTTCCTAAGGCATTGCGAAAATCTATAAATAATTTATCTTTATAATGATCTCAATCAGAGACCCCTATAAATGTCAAATCTTCAAGCCCAGCCTGGATTTGCTTAAAAAAATATAATTTTGACCTAGGAAACAAATATTTATAAATAATCTACTTTCAAAATTTGATTAAATATCATCATCATAAAGTGTTGTTTGTTGACAAAATGACGCTAAGCCAAACCTGAGAAACTAGCCTTATTAAGAACTATGGCCTCCGTTTATAGTAAGCGCGACATCGCAAAGATATGATTTTCAAATTTCAATCATAACTATGCAACTCGTTTCATCGCATTGCTCAGTCATTATAAATTATACTGATTATTTTCTAGCTCTTGTAAATTAAGCAGCGATGAATATAGACCATCGTGCCTTTAGTACAAACGAGGCCTAAGGCTTTTATCGATCTGAATAATGATTTTATATTTTTTTAAATTAGATTTTAATAGTCCTTTACCATGTTCAATAAATGAACGATTTTATTTGTAGAAATGAGAAATCATAATTTGTCAAGCATCCTGATTGACCCTATTTATGACTCACCTTCCAGTGTGGTAAATTCAAAGTCTATAAAAATGGAGGATCAAACTAACCCTTCAGGTTCAAAGGAGAGCTTAGATCCAAATGGTATATAAATTATATTTTTATAAAATATAAATATTTAACAAAAATTTTGAATTTTTTATTATATAAATAATGAAGAAGATAACAAAGATGCCACCGGTTGTAAAAGATATGGTCCGGGTAGGAAAACATTGCGGATGACAAAAAAGAAAAGCAGTTTAAAACACGAACAAGCTTTCTATATTGAGGGCAACGCTCCAAGTTTGGATGCACAAAATTAAATATATATTATATGCATATTTTATTAAATCAAAATTTTTTTTAATTAATTAATGTTGCTAAATTATTAACATTATAAGTATAGATTTAAAGGGAGAGAAAAAGTTAGACACATTATTTTAAAAAAAATTCTATTCAATTTATAAAAATATTGCAAATAATATTACAATTTTAGCGTCCATGTATATGTTTACGAAACCTGAAATTTTGAAAGAAAGCGAAATTAATTCTAAAGATAATGTACAGTCATTATTAAATCCCTCTCTTAATGAAACGATATCATCAGAATCTGTCGCGAGTGAAACTTCAGCCCTTTTGGGACAAGATAAAGCGCATTTGACAGAGAGAATGAAATTGGACACCAATTTATATGATAAATACAATGATCAAAACGTATAACTAACTTGTTTATACTTATATTTATACTTAAACGGACGATGCAAAAAATAAAAAAAATTTGAATAAAGTTTAAACCGCGAAAATAATTTTACTTAAGAATATTTTAATATAATGTGCAATTCTCTTCTAATTCTTCGTCATTAATCTTTATATGAATTTCTCCATATTTATTTATTAATAAATCATTCAGAGATACATCGATATACAATATAGGCTCACCTGATATAATAATTATTTTTTATAGCCATACCAAATTATTTAATAATCATAGCAGAGTTGTTTAAAGATACTTCAAATATATTATTCCTGCACACTTACAAGGCCTAAAAAGTATATAGATACAGATATACGGTCATATTTTTGGGATATAGATACAATTTTTTAAAGAAACCTTTAAGGTATATTTAATATTCTAATCATATAACATATAAGACACACTATACCAAAATTCATTTTGATATTCGATTTATATATAAAATATATCGTTAGCTTTGATTAATAAATTCTCATCGTTTTTATCATTTTTAGCCCGAACTTGTGTGCTGAAAAGTAGACTTTATAAATAACACTTTTATATTTGGCTAATCTTCGAATAATTTTAAATCTCTATAAAATATATTATTTATATAATAAAAGTTTTAAATTTCAATGGATAATTTTGTCACATTTAGTGTTGAGAAGTGTATATCGACACTTATTTCTATAATAACACGACCTGGCATATATAGAGTATTAACTTTTCGAAAATATCTTGATTAATACTTTTATCAGAGACCTGCAGGCCCGGCCCTAAGCCCGGCCCGGGTACCAGGGCCGGGTCGGGCCTGAAATTTTTTTTTAAAAATACACGGGCCGGGCCGCATTTTTTTAAAAAATTTAATTAACATGAATTATTATATTCGTCAATATAAATATGTTTATAATGATTATATATAGTTATGATTAATATAATGTTTGGTGAAAGTTAACACTAGCTAACATTCATAGTATCTCTTACATAATAAAATTATAGTTTTCCTGCCATGGAATAAATACGCAAAGGATTAAATACATTATTATATAATATACAGAGACCTGCAGAGGTACCATTTGTACGGCCCGGCCCGGCTCAGATTAAAAATTTTCGGCCCCGCCCCGGTATTTAAAAAAACAATTTTTGAGGGCCCAGCCTGGCCTGGATTTTTTTAAAAAAAAATTTTTAGGCTCGGCTCGGAATTTTTTAAAATTATATGACCTGGTATATACAAAAAATTCATTATTTCGTATTTTATCATATTTTTCAGCTAGTATTATCATTTGATAAGCAAGTATATTCTAATGTTGTTAAACGGCTTGTTTTGAGCCGATTTTTAAAAGCGGCTAACTCAATATTTTCGCCAGAAAAATATTGACTAAGCCTCGAAATTTCGATATTATATGTCTATACCTTTGCTCCTTCTATGAGCAGTTTTCAGGCTTGCATAATATTTTTCTGGATAAAAAACTGAGTTAGCCGTTTTTAAAAATCGGCTCAAAACGAGCCTTTTAACAACATATTTTATTTTTTTTTATTCTAAACAGATATTTAATATATTACAAATTGATACTATAAAAAATTTATGTAAATTATATTTTGAGAATATACTATGTATTTATAAAAAAAATAAAAATGATATTTTAATTAATAAAAAATATAACATATATTATATATTATATAATAATGTATTTAATCCTTTGCGTATTTATTCCATGGCAGGAAAACTATAATTTTATTATGTAATTGATACTATGAGTGCTAGCTAGTGTTAACTTTCACCAATCATTATATTAATCATAACTATATATAATCATTATAACCATATCTAATTAACGAATATAATAATTCATGTTGTATAAAAAAAATTTTAAAATACGGCCCGGCCCGGTATTTTTTTAAAAAAATTTTCAGACCCGACCCGGGTATATTTTAAAAATTTAAAATAACCGTGCAGGGCTTAGGGCCGGGCCTGCAGGTCTCTGATAATATATAATATATGTTATATTTTTTATTAATTAAAATATCATTTTTATTTTTTTTATAAATACATAGTATATTCTCAAAATATTATTTACACAAATTTTTTATAGTAACAATTTGTAATATACTAAATATCCGTTTAGAATAAAAAAAAATAAAATATGTAGTGTTGTTAAACGGCTCGTTTTGAGCCGATTTTAAAAACTCAGTTTTTTATCCAGAAAAATATTATGCAAGCCTGAAAATTTTACTCATTAAAGGAGCAAAGGTCTAAACATATAGTAACGAAATTTCGAGACTTAATCAATATTTTTCTGGCGAAAATATTGAGTTAACCGTTTTTAAAAATCGGCTCAAAACGAGCCGTTTAACAACATTAGCTGTATACTTGCTTATTAAATGATAATACTCGCCGATAAATATGATAAAATACGAAATAATCAATTTTTTGTATATACCAGGTCTAATATAATTTTAAAAAATTCCGAGCCGGGCCTAAAAAAATTTTTTTTTAAATATCCGGGCCGGGCCTAAAATTTTTTAATCTGGACCGGGCCGTACAAATGGTACCTCTGCAGGACTCTGACTTTTATCAACAATTGAGATAAGAATTAATGAATAGAAATTGTGTATTAATAAAATTTAAAAAAAAATTAGATATTTGGAACGCGTTTGAAACGTTGAACGCAACATATATTTTGGCTGGAATGGGAACAAAATAGGAACTTAAAAGTACCTTTGTTCCTGCTCCCTAAAAAATTTGCTAGCTATTTTGTTTGTTTTTCTAATCAGTATCACTAATATTGATCATCCAATAATATATGATATATAAAGATTACTATAGTACCATATTCACCATAATTATGTATCTCTTGTGTGAAATACTTGTTTTGGAATGTAATAAACTCGTCGAATTTATATTTTATAGAAAAATTCATTTTCTTTTTGAAGTAAGAAGGTTTCACCCACAAGCATATATTGCAAAAATGAATTCTCGCTACATGCTACCCAGCTATTTTTAAAATAGGAGTGAGAAAAAGTTGCTAAAAAGGCCCTTCTTATACTTTCCGAAGGATTGGGTCTAAAGCCTGGCCGGTCGGGCTGTGGCGATACTATTGATAATAAATGCTTGAAACTTAAAAATTAACATGTTTTTAAATTATTATAAATAATAATTGATCAGTATTTGATTATTTTTATATTTTTTTTAAATAAATTTTAAATTATTTTTTATTGCTAAAACTTGTCTAGTTTGTCATATTCCATTTTATAAAAATATATTTTTTCAAAATGAAAAAAAAAACAATCTTCAATTTATTCCTATTTCAACAGTCAAGCACAGACAAAACCTATATCTACTACTACATTGGAAAATCTTCCTGATAAAGGTATAGATATTTATTTTAATTTTTAGTAAGGAATTATTTTTATATAGTTCAATCACCAACATATATGCCCATCACAAATTTACAAGATGAGGATGATTATCTTCATGATAAAGCAGTGTCATTAAATATGAGAAATTTGACATTTCAATTAACATGGCTAAAAAAATATAAGTGGCTTGCCTACTCAGCAATAAAGCAAGGGGCTTTTTGTAAGGTGGGTTTCATTATTTCACCAAGATATGCTAAAGGGTTGCAAAAGCTTGAAACATTGGTAAGTACCGTGTATACCAGGTGGAAAGATGCCTTAGAAAATTTTAATTTTCATCAACAAAACATATTACATATAAATTCATGTGAAATATTTGACAATTTAAAGCAATATCAAATTGTAAAAAAATATTGGACTAACAAAAATTTAAACAAGTTACAAATATTAGAAAAAGGATAATGATAATTATTGATCCTATTATTTGGCTATGGAAGCAGGGCTAAAACTAAAAAGAGTTATCCAACTAGATTTATTGAAAGGCAACAGTCAGTGAGACTTTTCATAGAAAAATATCAAGTTATTTTGCAGCACTCGATTCCTACATATCAAGCAAAGAAAAAGATTCGTGCTGAAATCTTTTGCAGGCTATTACGAGGGCGCAATTTTTAATATCAATTCATTGCGTTTATTTTTTATTTAAATACATATGATTTTAGCAAAATGTTACAAAAAATTGATTTTAATTTACGAGAGTTTATGAATAGGGCAAAGGATATTGTTGAGATATTAATAAATATCAGTGAGAGTGATGATAAAAAATTTTGAAATATATGAGAAAGTAAAGGAGATTGCTAATATGTTTAGGATTGAAATTTTTAACCCTAGAGTAGTTTCTAGACAATCCAATCGCTCAAATATTGATGCATCTACTATTGAGGATTTTAAAAAATAAACATTTTTATTCCCCTTATTGATACATTTTTATTTCAATTAAAGGAAAGATTTATTAGTCATAATTTTATTTTAAAAAGCTTTTATTTTCTTTTGCCGGTTGAGTATAAACTGTTGATTACACTTGAAACAATGAGAGGATATTAAAAAAAATTCAGAGTTTTACGTGATGATTTAGTAGGCTCATATAATAATACTTTGTGATGTTGAATTTTGGTATAAAAATCTTGACAGAATTAGAGTATTCTTTGAGACCAAAAATGCTCTGCAGGCCCTTTCCATGTGTAACTGCACTTAAGATTCCCTGCCTAATATCAAATCATTATTACTTATTTTAGCTGTTCAACTTTAAAAAGGTTAAAGACTTATTTAAAAAATACTACCGGTGAAACACGTTTAAATGGATTAGCCCTATTAAATATTTCTAAGAAAATTATTCTAGATAAAAATTTGATTCTAGATGAATTAGCAAAATCTCAGAGAAAAGTAGACCTCTCTTTATAAATTCAAATCAAAATGCAATTTAATAATATAATTATAATCAAATTTTTCATAAAATTAATTCTTAGTTATAACATTTATATAATCTTTGTATTAACTCTTAAAATTTATACAATCACTACTATTTTTAATCAAAGTACTATGTAATATTTATATTTTGATAATATCGTCATATTTTTAATACCATTATTTACATAAGAATTACTTATATTTTATGTAATTGTTAAATTACATTTAATAGAGTTTTTATACAATAAAATTTTTAATATTTTAGTCTGTATAAAATATCTACATTTTGAAATTTATATTAAATAATAAAAATAAATACATGATTAAATAAAGGAATGTTATTTATGCTAAAGAATTTTTTAAAATAATTATAACATAGCATAAAATATATTGAGTGTTCACAAAAAATGTAAGATTTTGGGGGTTTCGCCCCCCAAAAAATTTTTTTAAACCCCCCCCCCCCTCATGAGCTAATCCTGGCTACGCCACTGTTTGGGTCACAAATTTAAATAAATAAATTGTATTTGTTATTAGTATTCGTCAGAAAACGTGATAAGACAATTGTCACAATTGGAGGTTTTTGGGTTGTGAACTTAAGAGCCTAAATATAAAATAAAAATATATACTAAAATATGATTCTAAATCTTTATTAAATAAATAACTATAATCAAATACAAAGTGAAAAGCATAATCAAAATAAAAGAAAAATTAAATTAAAAAAATTAAAAATTAAAAATTATGTGTAAAAGTAAAAATTAAAAAGTCTTCCAAGCGAAAAAATAAAAGTTTTTTATCCCACTTGTTAAAACTCTTAAAGTGTGAAAAATCTACAATTATCACGCGTTTTCATCTCATTTACATAGACGGGGATCTAAATGATAACTTAATAATTTTAATAAAACATTATTTTTGTTTGAATATTATTACAATTTGAATAATGCATTTTTTTGTAACGCAAAAATGCAATAGACACTATTAATTTTTAAGTATTTAATACAACAAATATCAAATACTTTCGTAAATATTAAAATAAATATTAATAGAAAAAGTATTTGCATTTAGTATTTTAAATACAAGTGTTTTCGTTATTGTCCAACCCTGGACTTATTATAAATATATATTATTTTTCTTGTGGCATTTTATTATTATAATTTTTTCTTTTCGCCCTAAGAAATTTAAATGGTGAAAAATGAAAATATATGATATTATATAAAAAAAGAGAAATTTGTATATATTGTTTTATAAATATTTTTTCATTAGATCAGCGTCTACATGAACGGGGATGGGGCGGGGAGAAAGGGGGGGGGGGTGGTAGGAACAGATTGTATTCAATTTTTATTGAGGGAGGGGTGTAGGCGTCTTTAAGGAGGGTAGGATAAATTGATTGAGGTGGTTATGTATTAAATTTTCAGATAAAATAGAACAAAATATATTGCTGTAAAAATTAATTTTTTAGCCCTATTATAATACATGATATTGCTGATCATCCACTAAATCTATAAATTGCATACAATCATAGACATTATTTTCCAAATAAAATTTAGTGCTAGGCTTTAACATTCTTAGCAAACTCATATATATAACAAAAAATATACTATAAAAATGCATTTATTGTAAATATTATTAAATGAGAGGTTTTTAAATTGAATTCATGATCTAAAAAATAACTCTATCCACTATATTTTGATAGTTGGTATTGGTAGTAGAGTTAAAATAATTTAGGTTATAGTACCATTGTAGTTAAAAAGGTGTAATTAACAAAATATTTTTAGGGAGGTAGGCATAGGTTTTTGAGGAGTGTTTATATTCAGCAAAATCTTGTCATGTAGACGCTGGTAAAAGATAAAGAGAAAAGCAAGCTATAGGGCCTTTAAAAAAATTACAAGGCATAGACGTAGACAGGATTTTTCTAAAGGGAAAGGGAGTGGTACTATTAGTTGAGGTTACCCATAAATTTTGCTGGAGGTCTTTAAGTTTACTTATTGCTGTATTTTGGCTATGATATATTTTTATAAAAAGTAGTTTTCGCTTTAAAAAAACAGGTTTCCTAAAATATTTTACATATAGTCGTTATTTAAAAAAAATTACTTATTTTTCTTTCAAATTCTTGTTTATAATAATGGGATTTTTTTTAGCTCAAAATGATATTTATGAAAACTGGCAATTTTTCAAAGGCGGAAGAATTTTTTCTTGCTCTCTGGCTACGCCTATAATATGGGGGTACATTATAAATTATAATTCACTTATTTTAAAATAAGTTAACACCCTTTTCCTTTAGCACTCTTTTTTCTAAAAAAAACAATATTGAGTTGTAGATCAGACACATCTAAACTCAATTTATAGGCGCATGCTGAAATAATTTTCTGAGATATCATTGGAGCATACTCATTTAAGCTTTCTTCACAGCTATTTATTTAAAACACCAAGACTGAAGCGGTAGTTTGCACGAAAAAACTTTTATACTCTTATCATCTCTAAACTTTAATAATCTATATATTTAAAGTATAAATCTTAAAAAATTGTATACTGCTAGTAGAATAGTTGCTGCAATATTTTAAGTTAATATAAATAAATTACTCATTTTATATTTTTGTAGCGGATTGTTGGCAACATAATTTAATAAACCATATGATTTAAGAAAAATCCGAAAAAATTAGGAAATTATTAATGACATTCATTTTTGCATAACAAATTGTAAATTGTTTGTTATATTAATTTTTAGAATAATTATACTTTTATGACAATTTTTAGCTAAATTAATATATTATTTTTTTATTTAAAACAAATCACAAATAGAAATGTCTTTAATAGCAGAGAGATATCGAAAAGATAGAGCGTCAGCTATATTTGCTGATAATGTATTTCAATTCAATTTAGATGATAGTCAAAAATTAGAAGATGATACCCAAGTTGAATATAAAGATACCATTAAGCAATTAGAAATTCATTATCAAAGATGTTAAAAATTAATTTATACCTTTACTCATATTACCATCTAGGATCTTATTGTAAATATAAGCTATATGTCAGGTCCAATTTTTTCACCAGTGTCAAGGTGCAAACTATTTACCTGGCCAGGTCTAATACTGGATCTTATAAAAATAATATTATTTATTCTTATATGTAAATTTAATTAGAAATTTTTCCATAATAATAATAAATTTAAAAAATAATAAGTTAAAATTCTTATAAAATATAAAAATTGTTTTGTTTTAAAGTAATTATATATACTTTGTTATAAAATCAAGTATTACTTCATATTTTTAGTCAAATAACTTGATAAATTGCAAGATTTTAAACATTAATTATTTGAATTACGTTATAAAATTGTATTTATAACAGAGACATGTAGAGGTCAAAATATTGGACCTCGCCAGGATCTGAAAAAAATCAGCTAAGTATTTATTTAGAAATGTTTTGGCCTTGCCCTAAATTTCATAATCTTGAATAATTTTGGCTTTTAAAAATTGTTTTAAAGGATAATTAAAAATATGAGCCTATACATGAATATATTGAACACTCTATTTTATGTTTTCCCAATTGATTATTGTCTATAATTTATTTATATTTCTTTTAAAATCCTAACCAAAAAATTAAAAATTGTGTACAATTAGATAATTTTTTGTATCTATTTATAGTTAAAAAATTGGTGCTCAATGACCAAAGTGTTATAACTGGCTTGTTTCCTGAATATGGTGGCACTGATAATTCAAATGAAGACCATATTTCTTCCATAAAAATTAGTAAAGTAAGGGATAGCATATATTGTGCTATGGCTTCATGGGCTCTATGTCAAGCATATAAGTAGGTTCTAATATAATTATTAACCAATAATATTTCATTTTTTTAATATAATTAGAGCCTAACTATACTAAAATCTAGAAGTGTGGGGGAGGGGGGTTAATAACATATTTATATAAAGATAGGTTTTTGAGGCAATATAGGTATTATCATTTCATTCTAGAGTATATCTGCAAAATTTCGAATTGAATATTTGAAGGAATGAAATTTTTCCATTCTAAACAAATGCTCACACATCCTTTTACATGCATAATTTTCTCCCAGCTCCAATAGTTTTGGGTTTGCTATAACCCTTTAAAACTGTATGAAGCAGGACAACCCCAAAATCAGTGTTGGGTGTGTCACATTACGGTAATTGATAAATCTACAGAATAGTTTCTTTATTTTATCAAACACATATTGTTCCTTGCCCAACCAGAACCAATAATTTTTAACACTAGATAATGTAATGGTGCCACTATACCATATTATAGTGGTAAATATCTTTCGTATTTAACCAGTCCAAGGAAGGATCATAATTGTTATATACTTATAGGAGTTGGTATCTTGAGCATGACATCTATTTTTTCCTGATGCCATTATTATCTATCACAAATCTCAGGGAAGAAACTGATTCTTTTAGAAAACGTATTTTCGGCCATTTTTCTTTCAGCCTAGCCTATTTCAATTTCATTAATACTTCTTTTACATTGCTCCATGTTATTTTCCTAGTTATAATAATATCGTCAGGATATACTCCTATAATTTATAGTCTTTTAATAGATTCTCCATATAGCGTTGATTTAGATAGGCCAAAAGGCATACAATCTAATATCCAATATGAGTTGATATATAAGATATCCCTTTAAAGCATTCTTTAAATCTTAGATGGTAAACTTTAAATTTCCTTGTATCTTGGCTAGTAGGTCATCCAATGTTGGTATTTTGTAATAGTCATATAAGATTTAAGGGTTAGTTGTAACTCATAAATTCTGATTTCCCAATCAACTTTGCGTTTGCATAAATGCACAGATCCCAAGTCATCCAGATTTTATTGGATCAATCTCTTTCAAAATCCTCAAATTCATAAGTCTATCAAGTGCCAGTTCAATTGATTTTTATAAGGATAAGGGTAATCTACGTGCTAGATAAGACTTTGGATTAGCCGTATCACTATGATTAATACTAATTTCAAAATCTTGGACTAGTCCTGGCTTCTCATCAAAAACACTGGAAAATTCTCTGGTGGTAGCCACAATTCGTTTTTCAGTCATTCATATCTTTAGTTTTTATGTTTCATATTCATATTGTGGAATAATTATTAAATGATAATATCAATGGTAACACAAATAGCTGCATGTCCTTTGTGCACGTAACCACAATTGATATTGGGGATTTATTTTCAAGTTGAACTCTTACAATAGTATAGTTTTATCTATAACTGACTACCATAAACTGTCAAATGTTTTATTAGTTCAAGCGAGTAAGAAGCTTACCTTCACAGATTTAAAGGAGGCCTATTTATTTTAAGCTGCCAATCGAAGACAGTTCAAAGTCAAAGTAATATTTAACTATGTCAACTCATATCGGCTATTTTAGATATCAATGTATGCCTTTCGGCGTATCTATGCACCGGCTATATTTCAACTCTCAATGGATAATTCACGAGCTGTAAACTAGCAGGGGTATATCTTGCCGATATTTCCTTAATTGGAAAAAATAAAATTTGAACAATCTAAAAAGTATTGGTAAAATTAAAACATGCTAGGCTGGAATTAAAATTGTCCTTTTTTTAAAGAAAAAATAAGTCTCTTACCTTGGATTTGCAATAGACAATAATGGCATTCATCCAGCTTAGGGTAAAATAGAGTTCATTCACGCGATACCAACACCCATAAATATACAGTAATTGACATAACTTCTTGGAGTTATTAATTATCACGAAAGATTTTTATTCATCATTGTATGATTTAACCAGTGTTAAAAGTGGTCTGACAAGGAATAATATGTGCTTGATAAAATAAGGCATGGAAAAAAATATATTATTAGGTATAAGTTTTTTTTATATATAACCTGAAATGGAGCTTCACCCTATATATAAAAATTATTTCGTCTAATTAGATGAGCATCCCATTTAATAAGGAATGGTTTTTTTATTTGCATAATAGGAGATAAATGTAACTAAAACAGTGAAACCAAATATGCTAACACCCCAGGAAGAAAGGGGCGAAAAATTACACTAATAAATGTGAAACTTGTTTAATAGAAAATACGTTGCGCAAAACTAATGGAAAAGCTTCGCAATATACTGCAACATGGGTTATGTAATAAGATTTTACTATTAGCATATTTAATATTCGTTATATTATCTTATTCAAAAGTCTATTTTTGTTTTATAATATATTAAAAATTGGCGTTAGGCTAAAGTGTGAGTAGATACCTTATGAAATAAGGTACCCTATTATCACGATTAAAGTTCATAATGTTGTATTATTGCCTATGAAATTTTTAAATAATTTCTTATTCCCTAAAACCCTTTGATGATCTTGAATATGCACATGTGATCTTTTGATTATGGTTGCATTATTTCGAAATTATGAAATTTGTTTTATTCAAAAGTTGTAGAGAGTTTTTTTCTTTGTCGTATTTATAATTTTTTTAACAAGAAAGAAAGAAAGAAAAATCTGAATATAATTATGAAACAATTTTTATTGTTAGAGTAAAATCAAAAAAAATAAATTAAATGATACGATACAATCGAAAATTAGGGAATTCCAGGGATGAGATTTCACTAAGGTAAATGGAGTAAAATTATCTTCGGCTGGTGAATGGGTGAAATTTATAGATTGGAGATAAAAGATAAATGTAGCATTAAAAAATTTTTAAGAATATTAGTTGAAAAGGAGGAAAAGATGGACAAAAGGGTAAGGTATATTTTGAAGAATTATAAAACTTTTATATGGAAGATCAAAACATTTGAGAACGGCATTTTAAAAAAAAATCATATTTAAAGGATGAGGCATAAATTTTAACCGGAATTAGAAATTCCTCCATTGATACCGTCCCCTATAGTTAGGCTATAGTTTTATTTTATACCAAATGACCGTAAAAAGCTAATGAAATGTACGTAAATGAATATTTCATACTTCAAATTATAATTTGCACATTAACATTTTTATTTTTTGAATAAAAGGAGAGTCGATGATAATAATGGAAGAATTCATGAACTAGCCCAATCTGCCGTTAAATGTATGAGAGGTATTCTATGCAGCTGGATGAATCAATCTGATAAAGTTTTATTATATATTCATATTTATATTAATTTATAAAATATTAAGCCGTCTATTTTGGCATATCGTCGGCTGAGTGTTATAATATTTTAGATGTATCTTCCCCGATAAATAACTACTACAGTGCTATATTCTTTCATACATTTGGAATAATCCTTTATTTACTATATATATATTTATTTTTTTAAATGCTCTCAAGAAAAATTATAAAAAATGGATATAGAACATAATAATACTGAGCCGACGATATGTTATTGCATACACGCACACGTAGAACATGTTTATGAACCCTAAGTTTTGACATTTTATATTATCATTTAAAAAAAAAAAAATTAATACGGTATTTTGCAAAGGTTTTTAAACAAATACAGCTGAACATTTTTTTTCTTTTTTAAGGTAACATCTCTTAAAAGACAATCATAAAATATTGATTGCATGAATAGGTTCGGCCCATCTTGAGTCAAGTTGGGCAGACTCTGAGACAAAAAAATTAGTGTGAATTTTTTTTCCTGGACCGGACCTCCTAAAATATATTCGAATACGAGGGCTCTAACTTATTCCCCTCTTTAAAAAAACATTTAAATAATAGTTAGAACGTTTCAAATATGATCAAAGCCTTAGTAACGCTCTTCATTCTCAATTTGACTTGGAAACGGGGATGGCGAACGAACTTACCGAGAATTATGAGAATTTACAGGTTGATAATCGTTTTGTCTTGACTATCAGCTTAAAAATAACTAATAATGATAAATTGAAAATTAAGTCTGATCATACGTGTACCGTTAACCCGTAATAAGGGTTAAATGAAAAGAATTATCAAATCGATCTAATATCTAAAAATCTGTTCATTCCTTAGATCATTCCAGACAAAACATTTTTTCGAAGCGGTTTTTGTGGCATAACAATTTTATTGTATTTCCAAATATAGGATAATAAATTGAAAAACGATTAAATGGCGCTTAAATATTATATTATGCAAAAATATTAATTCGCCCAATTATTATTCATTTGCTGAAAACATTCTTCCGAAACCGCTTTGAAAAAATGTTTTGTTTGAAATACATTTTGATTATGCTACATATATTTTTAAAAATTTATTTTAACAAAAAAACACTCAGATTGATGCAGTATCATTGTACCTCATCACACTCGTCCAGATGATATCGTCGGGACTTCAGGTTGAACCCCACTATATTTATTTTGTTAAAATAAACCACGCAAATAAAAATTTACTACTTATTTTTACCCGATGCTTGTGTAATATTCCGAAATTTAATACGAGCACACTTCGTCTAAGGACACATTTCTCTAAAGAGCAGTTTTAGCACGATATTGCTTTGCTTGATTTTCTCCATCGCTATGGAGAGCGCGACATCGCGTTATAATAAAAATTTGGTAATGATAACAGCTGTCAGAGACATTGTTTATTAAACATTAAAAAAAATACAAATTGAAGATCTGAAATAAAAATTAAAAATGTCTTAGAAATTTTAGTGTAATAAAAATAAAAGAAGTATAGACAAATCATCAGCAAAATTTTTTATTACGGATTAAAGGGGTGCAAAAAAAAATTCAATTTTTTTTAGCTCATCTTATTTAATTTTTATATAAAAATAAATTTCAACATCCGAACATTCAAAATTAAATCGACCTTATATTTTATTTTCAAACACAGAGGTTCTATTATATCAAATTAATTTCCATTTAATTAGCTAGATTTATGCATTTTATTTAATAATGTTTATAAAATTTAGAATGTAAATATAAATAAAAATATTATAAAAATGGTGATCCTAGAGCAATCTAATACGGGAAAATATTAAATCCACTGTATTAGTTTCATAAAAATTTATTCACGTTTTGGTTCCCCCACCCATCTCCATTTCACATTTATTTTTATTTATTCAGATTATTTACACTCGAGACGAGGTAAATTTTATTCAAAATTTGGTGTTTTACGTGGAAAGGGCTTACAGGACCCCCGATTTTGGAATGTGGGAAAGAGGAACCAAATACAACAACGGTGTTTGCGAATTACATGCTAGGTTGGTAGGATATAGATTTATTAACTTGTTTTTAGGCTTATTTTCAAAATCTTTTTTAAAAAATTCTAAAAGTTTTAAAACTTTCGCAAATTTTAATGAAATCGTTATGTTAAATTTTATGAAATTTTTTAGAATTATGTCTTGGACATGTTTTTTTAATATTTATTTTCATTAAAGTTTGCTAATTTAATTTTTGATATTTTGGGCACAGCTATAAAAAAAATTAAATTTATTATAAATTGAAACTTATATAAATTATAATGCCCTTTAGAAGGAGTTTGATTAATCACGTTATTTCCTTTATATTTATTTATAAAAAAAATTATCCGTGATAAGTTGAATTCACGAATTAATTTATTTTTTTAGGATTCAAAATTCGTTTTGTAAATATTTCGATATCAATAATCAATCTTCTTTTTTTTATCCTACCTATATTATATACCGATTAGTTCCATAGGTATGGCTAAGGCAGCGCTAGAATTAATAAACGGGTTCAACGTTTATGGTCGAATGGGTAACTACTGGTCCGTCATTTACGTTGACATAGATGGTCATAATCGTAACCGAACTATTTTGGAAACCCTCTTGCCCAGGGAATCGAATTCTAAAGTGAGCTACATTTATACTTTTTTTCTTCCAATCAATTATTTTTGGGAATGAAGAAGTGATAGGTAATTCATATTATTATTTTATATGGAATAGAAACCATCTTTATAAATCGAGTTTTTTAAAAAAGATAATTAATTATGTCTTAATTTAACTTTAATTTGTAATAAATTAGTTTATCTGCCCAAAAAAAATTAATTTGGCAGACAAGATAACCCTACATTAATTTGAAATGAAGTAATGCTCTAAAAATGTTTCGCACATCTTTTTACAATAAACAACATGAATAACAAAATCTATCCATCCAAATCTTGAAATTTTTTTAAAAAAATATGCTTATAATGACTCTAATCCAGCTCATTCCTGTATCAATGGATAAAACAATTGTCACATTTTTGGCTTCTTATTTAATTAGAACACTGACTGTTCCCTTATTCCAACCTTGGGTTTTCCGTGTTTCGCTCTGCACGATGAAGTCCTCATATCAAAATCCTTGGAGCGACTCAAGAACAAGTTGGAAGGCAAATACGGGTTTAAACGGTTTATTAGAGACGGTTATGGCACCGAAATCGAAGCCAATTACTTTTTCCCTATTTCGAATGCCCAACTAAACGACGAGAATCAGGAAAATCAATCGAATGCTACCTTAAGTACCTTGTCGACAAATTTAACTTATTTATCTTGTAATCTATCTAATTTACCTTCCAAAACATCTCCTATCGGTAAAAAGAAACTGTACTACGAAAAGGGTCAAATTAAAGTAATTTAGTCCTTTTTTATGTGTTTAAACGACTAGTTTATATATCATTTTAAACTTTACGTGTATAATTTCCAGAAATTCTTAAAAATTCGCCTTTAAATTTACTACTCAGGAAAAATAAAAATTAAATTATATTTCATTTCATTTAATATAAAATATTTAAATCAGTGTGTTTCTTGTTAAACAATTTCTATCTTTTTAAATATAATACTTTAAGGATAAATAATCCGACTTGATTCAAGTTAATCAATAATTTACAAATGAAATAATTTTGAACCTCCTCAGGGACTATTAGAAATGATACACAGAGTTTAATAAAATTGATATTTTAGATGATTGAGAATATCTAATAAACTTTGAATGCATTTTTATTATTTATTATTGGAAATGAAAATAATCATGATATTAAATCTCTTTCAAAATTTTTTTTCAGGAGTTCGATGGGGTTGAAAGTGAATGGCCGCTATTTTATATATTCATGATAATTAACGGTAATATTTTATGTTTAAAATAATCACCACTTCCTCATTTTCTTTATTCATAGTAAATTGCTAAGTATCTTTTTCATGTTAATGTCCTAATACTGTTTCGCATGACCATCATTATTGGGTGTTTTTTCGTGGATACTTTGAGGGATTTGATTAAGTAGTTAATGGGCTAACTCGTATAAATCCTGATTTAGTTCTTAAGCCAGTAGTAGTCAGTAAAACTAGATATAAGTAATTGGTTGTTTAAGGTTGATTAAAAAGAATTAACTTAAATCACCTTAAATTATTAAATTTATATTTTACATGAATTATTTATATAAAGGAGTATTTAAAAAAAACGGGGCCGATGTTCAGCATTATATGAAACTACTCGAACCTTTACTCAAGCAAACTGAAGATGGTTATTATATATTATTATCATTTCTATTTATCAAATAATTTTCTAATTGTTTTTTATAATAGGAAAATTTTATTTTTTTCTTATTTTAAATAAATTGGTGTAGTATATATGTTCTAGAGATTTGTAAACCACGGCGTACTTAGCCCGAACGGGTTTTGGGTCGGTTTGGGTTGGGTCGGGCATAATATTTTAAAAATTTTGGGCCGGGTCGGGTTTAAATTTTTATATATGATATAATTACATTTTGTTAAATAAATGTATTTTATTAAAAATCTTGCAGAACAAACTTTATTATTTATAATTAATTCTTAAAAGTTGAAGCTAACAAAATTTCGTATAAATTTTTTCTAAAAACTAAGCCCACCCCCCTCCATTGATTAATGGTTGTTTATTTTAAATGGTAAGTATCATTTTTTTTTATGAACCTATCTTGCAAAATTATAATTATTATTCTTTAATTGCATTCATAAGAAATTAATCCGACATCTATTTTATTCGATTTTATAAAAAAATAAAATAACTAGACATAATAGTTCCCAAATATTACTACGTTCCTATCCCTCTAATGCAAATGGAAAGGAAATATCCAGGTACTCAGATAAGGTACTCGAGTCCCGAATACAAGTTAGGCAGACACTTTTTGTGGGGACAATCGCTTTATCTTATATCCAATTTGTTAGGTAATTTGTTATATTTCGTCGGTTGAGTATTATAATTTTCTATATCCATTAAGAGCATTGATAAAGATAAAATGTTTTTTATATTTTAAATAGGAGATTTACATTATAATAATAGGATTATTCCAAATTATATTTTAATATTTTTTTAATTATTGATAAGGGAAGAATATGGTAAAGAAAAATTGATTTATGGAAAAAAATGCATTTTGCAAAAATGTGGATATTAGAACAATATAATAATCAGCGAACATATAAATTACATACTGATACATATATTTGATTTAATAAATTATTTTGTTAAGTTTATACAGCGAAAAGAGAGTTATGAAATTAAAAATTTGCAAATTGTCTGACTGATTTTTGGCCTATTTTACTTATCTTTACAAATTTAAAAAGATAATCGTAGTTTTTTTAAATGTAATTTTTATCATAATCATTTTTTTTAAACCCCGTTTTCTATAATTGTAAAAAAATATAAATATTTTCATATTTTTATTTATTGTTTAATTCCGAAATAATTACTAGTAAATAATATTCATTGTTACGAGTGAATTTTTTTTTGTTCATTGACACCACTTATCCGCAACAATGACCTTGCTAGCTCTTATCTTTAGGCGTGCATAAATTAAATTTCCATTTGACTAGCACCTTTTCTCTCCGCCTTAGCGAAGCTACTAATTTACTATCTTACTCCCGAGAATTATATAAATTTACTAAATTTAATATTTATTTGATAGTCGAAGGACATTTGCACATAACGGAACTCGATCCGATGAGAAAATTTTTACCCGGTTCTGAACGGCCCAGAAGTTCCTCACGTTATTCATTTTTTCAAGTTTTAATTTTTTTTTTGTAATATACATTTCATATAAGAATCAAGTATAATTGAACATATTTGAGATATTTTTTGTATTTTCTTGAATTTGACCAATGCGCATCTAAACATATATTTTTTCTCTCTTGTTTATAAATATAAGAATCGTTATCAAGTGTTTAAATTATACAGGTTCCATTGCCAATAAATTTTTATTTAAACGTTTTTATTTTAAATTATTTTTTTCTGGGATTTAGAATGACTAAATTTGGGGAAAATAAATATATATAGCCATACAGTGACTAGATATGTGTATTACCCCGCATTAACAATTATCGTGAATATGCGGCAAAGTATATAAAAATACTGCATATTTTGTATACTTCTCCATGAATTCCTGCTAACTCTGAATTCCGAATTCACAGCGGAGAATACAAAAATACAGAGTATTATGTAATTCGCGCTAACAATGAATGAGGGGTTAGAGATCTGCGAGATTTGGTCTGAATACACTTCGAACCGTGTCGGGTTGAGCTTAATATTTTTTTTATAAATCGGGCCAGGTCGGGCCTATATTTTAAAAATAAAAATGGTATATTTCTGTTTGATTATTATGATGTAAAAAGAAAAAGAATTTGAAAAAAATATAATAAAAATATAAGACATAATAGGAATCGGAAAATATTATAATGGCGACTATGTATACGGAAGAACCCGCGCGGAAATATATATATAAAAAAAAGAGAAAATTTAAATTTGATATAAAATTGTCTAAAATGCCAGCAGCAATTCCTGTTAAAGAAAACAATGACTCATTTACGACTTTTCGAATAAAACTAGAAGCCTACTTTACACTAAATGATATATCGGACAACGAGAAAAAGAGAGCAGCATTGATATCGGCACTATCAACCTATGACTTAAATAAGGTTATTTTAAAATTCGCTCCGAAGTCAATTAATAAAATAAAATACGACGATATGCTAGATTCGCTAATAGACAACGATAAAAAAATTGCACCATTGGAAAGTTTTCAATTTTATAAACGTACCCAAAGGGACGGGGAAACCAATTTAGAATTTCTAAATTCACTAAAATCTTTGGCACTTAAATGCAACTTCAAAGAAAAATATGAAGAGAACTTAAAAATGCAAATAATTAATGGTTTAGAAAGCAAAGATATCACGACAAAGTTATTACTCGAAGAAGATATGGGTATAGAGGAAATTGAAAAACTCCTTCGAACCATGGACTTGATAGACGAAAAGGAAAAAACAAAAGGTATATTTTATTGTCAAGCCGGAAAGGAACAAGAGGAAGACAAAATAGAAAATAAGGAAATAAACTATATACAAGTCTAAATTGGTTTCCCCGTCCCTTTGGGTACGTTTATAAAATTGAAAACTTTCCAATGGTGCAATTTTTTTATCGTTGTCTATTAGCGAATCTAGCATATCGTCGTATTTTATTTTATTAATTGACTTCGGAGCGAATTTTAAAATAACCTTATTTAAGTCATAGGTTGATAGTGCCGATATCAATGCTGCTCTCTTTTTCTCGTTGTCCGATATATCATTTAGTGTAAAGTAGGCTTCTAGTTTTATTCGAAAAGTCGTAAATGAGTCATTATTTTCTTTAACAGGAATTGCTGCTGGCATTTTAGACAATTTTATATCAAATTTAAATTTTCTCTTTTTTTTTATATATATTTCCGCGCGGGTTCTTCCGTATGTTCATCATTTTTTTTATTATATTTTTTTTCCAAATTCTTTTTTCCTTTTTATAATAATCAATTTCTGAAAAATCGATAATCAAAAATAATATTTATAATTCCGAGAAAAAATAAATTACATGAAAAATATTGATAAATTTCAAAAATCGATAATCAAAAATAATATTGATAATTCCGAGAAAAAAAAAATAAATAAAAAAAAAATAAATAAAAAAAATGATGAACATAACAATTTCAAAATTGTTCCAAAAGTAGAATGAATGATCAGAAACTCGATTATATTCAATATAAAAATATTGAAAACGAATTATTTTTATTTCGTGTCGGGCATTTCGAGACAAACAAAAAAAAATTTCGTTCGGGATCAGGTTGGGCTATACAAACACTTTAAAAAAAATTCGGGCAGGGCTTGAATAATGAATCATTTTGATGCAGATCACTAATGTGGATAATTATTTGTGAATTTTTAAATGACATAATTATAAATTATATGTCTTATTTATTAGGGAAACTCTTCCGATCTGGTCGTCCAAATAATACCCATTTCCGAAAGTACAAGATTACAATCCTTTTTGAGCATGTACGGAATCAAAACGCAGACCCCTCACCAAGTAGAACCTGTACAAATATGGCCTCCGAGCGAATTACTAAAAGTTCTTTCTTTTTCTCTAAATATAACTAAAATACTTTAAAAGATATTTATATAATCCTAACCCTTATCCTCAACTGGGTGTGTTTAGAACGCGTTATTTTACTAATTGTTGTTTTATCAAAATTATATTATGGAAAAAATTTAGTTTCTCTAAAACTTATAATAATCAATCTTTAAATCCAAATCTACTCCAATGATTATCAAACCTTATGATTACCAGTTTTCCATTAAAATCAATAACAATAATTTAAACATTTTGTAGAGAAATAATCACATTTTGTTTATTTATGCGATATTCCTGCTTATTCTATAGCAAATAGCCTATTTTTTTTATTATTTAAAAATATTAATTATTTTTTAGGCCTACAGTTTTTTGGGATCAAATACTAAATTAGGATTGACTGGCCGTCCTCCTCGCCCTATAGGAGCATTAGGAACTAGTAAAGTATATGAAAAATTATTGAAAAGAAAAATTAACTATTTATTTTGTCAAATATGACATCGCCTTATATAGAATTAATAAATCCAAAGGAATTCATTATTAAAATAAAATATTTTATTATCATTTTGGCACAGAGTGCCTAATTCTTCTCTTTACCAATTTTGGTAGATGAAAATCCAATTAAATAATTTTATTTTAATTTTCTAAAAAAATATAAATCTTAACATTAATTTTGACAATTTCTAAATTATTATCCCAAAATTTAAATTATTTCCCTAGACCAATAAAGGATATCTATTAAAATTCATAAAAGACCTAATAATTTTTAACAAAGATGATGGCTATAATTTACCAACTAAATGGAAAGTTTTAATGAATTTTTTAATTCTTAAATTTGTAATTTTTTATACTTTTTAAAAATCTTACTGATGATGGTTCACAATTCTAAGTATCCTCAAATATACATAATTTTTATTTATCAATCAAAATAATCTAATTTAATTTTATACAATGAATTCCATAAATGATATGAATAATTAAAATATTATTGGTATTTTCTATTATTTTGTTTGTAACGAAAAATGTATGCCTATAAGTCTCATTAAAGAAAATTAATCAAAATAGATTTTTTTTTTGAAGAAAAGAAATTTTTATAAAATTTTACCTAAAAATATCAAAATCTTTTGTAATTTTTATGCATAAGGCCACTTCCAACAAATAATAAATTCAGCTTAATAGTTGGGTGCTTCCAAACAAAACGTTTTTTTAATACATACGATTTTACTTTTATTTTAATAACAAACTAGCTTATTTTTTTTAACGATTTATTGGCGTCTGATACGTTTGAAATGAACAAGTAATTATTTTTATATTAATATTAATAAATGAGATGATTTTAGGGGAAATTTTATATCTGATTTGATAAATTTTACAGAGGCTCGACGATTTATGGAATCAATGTAATGATAATTATTCTAATAGATTGTTAGTCGGAACTATGGAAATTATGTGATAAAAAGTAGAACAAAACTTTACATTGAATCACCTAATGTTGACTACTTTATAATGAGAATTTTTTAATCAATAGATTTTTTAATACTATTTATTAGTAAACATTAATATGGAATATGAATTTTAATAATTTATAATATATAAAATTATTAATATTTCTTTTAATAAATCATAACAACATAAATCTTTATTTAAATATGCAAATTAAAATGGAAGAATTTGAGGGATTCTTTTTTAGAGAAAAAGAGAAGGAGGGAAGTAATACATTCGGGAGATTCTGCTACTCCATGGAAATGGTATGATTCTCTATCATTTCTTACTACTTAGCATTGCAGCTTTTACTTATTTGCTACTATAGGATAGTTGAGATTAAATAAGGCCTGTTCTTAAGTATCTTAAATGGTTTATATATATTAATAACTAAATATATTACCTTAGAGTAACAAATTATCTATTTTCAGGAGATATTGTTGTTTTTGCATTTGTTTGTATATGCATAATTTTATTTTCAATTTTGTTAAGTATGTAGTAGAAAAACATTCCTGGATAGTCCAAGATAGTGAAATAATTGGGAATCATTTAAATTGATATAGATCAGATACAGAGATCTTTCTTTATAGATTATACTTACTTTTCGTTTTTTTTTGTAATGTCTTAAAATATAATATCTTGGTATAAGATTCATTTGTAAAAAAATCAGCTGTATAATATAAATCGTTGCTTGTTTGGAAATAAAAAATTGCAAAAAACCTGCTTCGGAAAACGTTTTGAAAAAACGTCGTGTTTGGAAGTGGCCTAAGAAAGAAAGGGTGAAATCAAAAATTTAATTAAAAGATTTTTTGCTCAAAAATATTTTAAAGATTTTTTAAAAGTTTTGTTGATTTTTTTTTAAAGTTTTATCTCGGTTTAGAATAAATTGCTAAACAGTGAATAATGTTTTGATAGTTATTAAATAAAGATTTTATCTATAAATTTTGAAAAATAGATTCAAAATTTTATATTTTTAAATTTATTAATATTTGATTTATGAAATTAAAAGTAAGTTTTATATAGTTTTTTAGTTGAATATTATTAATCATCAGTGTCAATTCAATTTACTGAGACTTACAGACTTCGAACTGGCCGAAAAATGGTATGATTTAAAAAATCCGGACCAAATCGAACTTGAATAATTTTTTAGATTAAAATTCCAGGCAGGCCGATTTAAATATATCAATTAATCTATTGGGGATATTTCCAATTTCCCCCTTTGGAACAATTTGCAAAATACAGCCAGAAAATTCAAAATAACATTGTAATTCCAAGAATAAAAATTGTGCCAGATTTTTTTTAAATCCCGGTCCGGGCCTGAAATTGTGTCTATGTGGGTCTCTGTCCTAAAATAATTAAATTTTAGCTTCGTTTAATATTATTAACAATTTACGCCTTTTTTTACTTTAAAATGGTGAAAATTTTATGGGTCCTGAGAAATTATTTAATCATTTGATTTTTTATCAACCTACCTAGTTTTATAGAGTGTGTAACACGACGATAATTTGTCATCCTTTATTGTTGGAAGTGCGTGATTTCTACCTCTCTTACGATATTTCCTTGCTCTTAAACGATATTAGGGTTCGAAATATTTTATTTTTATTTATTTTTTGTGAAATAAAATATTTGTTTAAGGAACGAGTTTTTCTTTTTTCTAACATCAAGTAAGAGGTTAGTAAAAAGAAGAATTTGATTTTAAATTATTTGAAATGGTCTTTTTCTTATCAAGATAAACTTTTAAAGTTTTTTTTAAAGTTTATCATAATTATTTGACTATCAATTTCAAATTTTAAAAACCTTATTTGGCAGAAGGGGGAGGAATAAATTGTTTGTTGTTTGTTTCGAGCCAGGGAAGCATTTCTTAGTGCATAAAGATTTTTTATCTTTGAATATTTTTTTAAAATTGATGTTATTTGTGGGTTAATATAATTGATTACACTATGTGACAAGAAAAATAGGAGAAGAAAATAAAAACAAGTTTTTGTGCAGAATTTGACGCTGAGTTCGAATCCGTTTTCCAAATTTTCCCTACACGTCAAGTTTTAAAAATATTACCGTATAAAGACAACTTTTCGAAATCGGATATATTTTAAAAAGTATCGAATAAAAATCCCTGAAAATTGGTGATAGTGTTAAACTTATATTTCTTTATAAATTTACTAATTTTTATAATTTTTTATCGATTGGTTTTTGAGAAAAATGGTAAAGAATTTCGTTTTGGGGGTCTTAAGTTTTCAATTTAAATTACTATCAAAATTATTAACTTTAGAAGATAAATTTTATATAATTTTGCTTCAAATATGCTCAAGATTATATATTAATTCTAATTATGTTTCAAAAGTACTCTATCCCATGAAAATTCAATCAAATTCTATAAATTAAAAAAGTCGTACAGATATTTTCGAACTTTTTAATTTGTACACTTTTATTGAATTTTCTCTGCATAAAGTATTTTTAAAGCAAAATTAAGGTAATATTTATCTTTTTTAGTTGTATTTAGTAATATTTTATGCATTTATGATCAATTTATACCAAAATCAGATATCTGTACCCACTTTTTTAATTTGTACTCTTTTTAAATTGAGCATTTTTGAAGCAAAATTCATTTAAAATGAAATAATTGGTAATTTTTTCATATTTTTTATTAGTATTTATCTTTTTTAGATGTATTTAAGAATATTTGTTTTTTTAATCAATTTATATCAAAATATATGATTTTCCAATGTAATACCTTGAACCCGCAGTATGGTCAATAAATAATAATGCCAAATAACGAGTAGAAAGAAAGGAGAAGAATTATTTTTTTTCGCGCTTAATTTTTCATAAACATTTAATTTCTTTCATTAATTTTTTTTTTAAATTGGATTTTAAATATTATTCAAATTCCCTCCTTATATAATATTCTACAAAAAATTAATGCTGAGGTCCCCTTGTTTAAAATGTGTCTCTAAATTTTGTTACATCTGTGCGGGCTATATAATGCCCGCACAAAAATGCCCAATTTCTCCAATCATTCAAAGGATTTATGAAATTTATTACAATATTCCACTCTGCGATTTGGATAAACCATTGCCCCTAATTACATATGTAAAACATGTTATAATTCTTTTAATTCATGGGTAAATGGAAAACGGTCATATTTGCCTTATTCGAAACCTGCATTTTGGCACGTAGCAAGAAATCATTCGTGGGATTGTTATTTTTGCTCGATTAGTACATTTGGGTTTAACAAAAAAAATAAGAAGAAAATTCGTTATCCTGAAATTTCGTCGGTTGTTTATCCGGCAAAATATAATATGCATACAACAGTTTCTTTTTTTAATAGTTCGCAGCTGGAAAAATTACGTTGCCAGGACAATGACAATATTGGTCTTGAGTATCATCCCGAAGAGGATTCGCCATTTATGTCACAAGAGCAACTAAATGACATAACCAGAAATTTACAACTTTCAAAAAGAAAGTCCGAATTTTTAGCCTCAAGGCTTAATGATTTTAAAATTTTAAAAAATGGAGTTCGAACTTCATACCGATTCCGTGGAGCATCGTTTAAAAATTTATTCTCTTACGAAACTTTTTTATACTATTCCAACAATCTAGGTCAACTTTTTTTACAACTTAATATTGAAATGGTGCCCGATGAATGGCGCTTGTTCATCGATTCAAGCAAAAACAGCTTGAAAGCAGTTTAGCTTCATAACGGAAATTCTAAGCCATCAATTCCCATCGCCTATTCCAACCAGTTAAATGAATCATATGAAAATATGAAATATTTATTGTCAAAAATAAATTATTCCATTTACGAATTTAAGATATGCTGCGATCTCAAAATGATCGCAATCCTATGAGATAAGTTAGCTTAGCATAATATATTTATTTAAATATGAGAAATATAACTACTTCATTTAAAATAAATTGTTTGGCAATCGTACCTTGTGCAGTGTAGCGAAGAGAACGAAAGCCACAATAAATAAATATATTTAATTAAGCTATATTAAAAAAGATTTTATAAATAAAAGTAAATTTAAAAAATATAGGTTGTTTAAAAATTGAGTAAGGATTTTATAAAAAAAAAAACTGTATAATAATAATAAGGAAGGTTTGCTGCAAAAATTAAGATATTTTTTTAGTTGTAGGGATCATTAGAACCTATAAACCTTCAAAAAGTGCTAAAAATGACCTTTTTGGCCACTTTAACCTAAAATAAATAAAAAAAACCTGACGTCCTAGAAAAAAACTGACAGCGGATTTAGAATATGCATAAAAAACTGTCTTAAAACTTCTTTATTTTATTTTTTCCCAAAAAAATCAAGTCGAAATTTGTCACACAGTGTTATTTGGAACCGCCATACTTCTTCATTTTTTTTGAGTAGTTGAGATAAGTACTTTTTATCATTTATATTATAATATATTCTTTCTATTTCTCTGTGATTGCATATTAAAATGATATTCTTCTTTTTTTATTTCTTATAATCTCAGAACGAAATAATGTTACTTGGTAAATGTTGGAAACTTTCCGGAAGGCCTACATATTTATTTCTTATACGGGAATCAAATATCAAGTTAAAAAAATTTTATACAAATTGCTTTAATCTTCTTCTTCGTCGTTATACATTTTCCTCTCTAATCGCCTTCCTCCATTCTACGCGGTCATGGACATCGCCCCTGGTCTCTAACTTTCATGTCGCTATCTAGCACCTTCATCCAGCTTGTCCTTTGCCACGCCCCTGGGTTTTTTCCCTCCACTTCCAACCAACGACATTTATTCAACCAATTATCCTTTGCATTCCATTCAACATCTCCAATCCATCTCAGTCTATTTACTCTCAGGACATCACCTATCGCTTCTATGCCAATCCTTTCTCTCAGTTCCCCGCTTGTTTTTCTTTCTCTCAAAGATACTCCGCATATCCATCTGATCATTCTCATTTCCGTTCATTCTAACTTGGCTTTGTGAGTTTAATTGCCCATGTCTCGCTTGCATGAACTTTACCCTTCAAAACTAGAGAGACATTTTTTCTGTTTTAATTAAAGACATCTCTAAATTTCTTCCGTGCATATCTTATCTTTACCACCACTGCCAAGTCAACGCCTCCATCTGCGTTAAGTGCATTGCCAAGGTAACAGAACTTCCCTAATTTTTCACTTTGTAAAAACCAGTCATGCTACAATTATCTTGCACCACTTTCTTACAATTTCTACAAACAAACGTCGCGCTTACCTTCTGCAGGTCTTCTTCTACGCCGACTGTGAACCCATTTCCGATAGCACGTACAATAGATGGAGTTTCTAGCAACGCTTTTTCATATGACCACGCCTCTCTCCTCGTTCTTTTCTACACCTTCGTCTTTTCTATATTCATTTTTAATCCCTTCTCTTCCGTCTCTCTCCGTCATCTAACTATTTTATCTTTCAATTCAGTCTTACTTTTCGCTATCACTACTAAATCGTCGGCATACAATATTTCCCATGGAAGTCCTTTACGCGTCATTTTATCCATGAATTTTAAAGTAAGAGAAAAATAAATACTTCCAAAGTAAAAATTTAGTATCATTAAGAATATACATTTATTATTTCCGATAGATTTCCATTTTTTTTTCTGTAATAAATAATTTCGAGTAATGATTATTATGCAATAAATATGTTAAATTATTATATATCAAATTAATGAAAATATCGAATTCATAGGCGTAGCTAGGATTTTGTTATGGGGGGGGGGGGTGGGGGGGTTACTATTAGGTGCCTTCCCTTCTATAAATTTTATTAGAGGTCTTTAAGTCCACATATTACAGGCCTTTGACTATGCGACCATTTTTTAAATAATAATTTTTTTCCACTTTTTTTTTAAAAATTTTGAATTACAATCATCATATTTTAAAAATTATTTACTTATACTTATTTATTTTTTTAAATTTTTGTTTATAGTGATATATTGTACACATGGGGAGTGGTGGGGGGTGGGGTGTACTAGGGGAATTGTTTTAGCTTTAAAATTATATTTACGAGAACAGGCAGCCTTGTCCCCCATCTGGTTACTCTTATGATCAAATTTATAACCAATATATATCTTCAGAAACCCTATTTCTTTTTGTATCCAAATTTCTATAATACTTTTTAAAAAATATATCTCACAAAATAAATGTAATATTTCTTTAAAAAAAGCGATAAATATAAATTGTAATTATAAAATGATTAAGGAAGGTTTTTACCTTAGGCAATGACTCCATTGCCATTCATAAATTGAATTACATCAGTTTCACTGGAAGCCTCCTTCCTAAGGAGCTAACCTAACTTTTTTTTAAAATCCTTTTTAGGTGAATATTTATGTAGATTGAATGATATATTATATTATAAATGAGATATAAACTCATAACTAGAAGTGACTTAATAAATTTACAAAAAAAAATATTTTTAAGGAGCCATAGATTTAGCGAAGTTTTAGACCTCTTGGCTGACATGAAAAAAGGGGAAATAGATGGCATCAAAGTTAAACTTTGTAGACTACAGGTATTTTAACATCTTATTTAGTTTAAGCAAATTATCGCACTTTATAAGAGCTATTATATATAAAACAATATATTTCATGTTTATAAAAAAAAATTCTGATATATAGAATTTTGATATAAAATTATACTTCCAACACATTTAGTAAATAGGTCCATTTACATTAATTTCTTGAAAATGAATATTTTTATCTAAATATGCACCATTCTCAAGAATTGCATATCGACGGGCTGCATGGAACATCTCGATTTTGTGCGTACTTCTTGTGACATCACATTTTTCAAACCATTCGACGACGTATCTCTCATATCGACTGGCTACACCAGCTTTATGGAACGATTTCCTTTGCAAACTTCTATCCCCAAGGAAAATATCGACGAAAATCTTATAATGGTTTGTTGTATACTCTTCGAATTTTATGAAATACAATTATTAGAAGTTGATGCAATTAGAAATTGAAGATATCCGTCCCGGTCTATAATTTTTTTTTTGAAGGGACAACACGTAAATTTTCCAAATTATCAGGCTTTAAAACAATTTTCAAAACTACGACCCGCCTGCCCCAAATTTCTTTTTTCTCGAATAGTGGGTTGGCTGAGCAACCTGGTCTCTAACCAATATTATCCCTTGAATGGTAAAGTTGAAAAAAAAATAAATAAATCGACTTATGCACGTCATAGCCTACCCTCTCCTCACATTTTTGTATTAGGCCTCGATATTTTCAATGATTATTACCCTGTATAAAGAGAAAAAGAAATCATGTTAATTTTAATAAATATGCTAATAAAAACTCGAATGGTAAAATATTTTAAGTTACATTTCAAATTGATTATTATAAGAGAGCACTATATAATAATAATATAAATGTGAATCAAATTATTAATGAATAATATTTACATATTTATGCATGTTTGGGAATTTTCCTTTTTCGAAAAACGCCATTTTGAAGCTACCTATTTATTTATTTTTATAATGAATACCATATAAAGGAAATAGGAAAATATAAGTTTTATCGCTTTACCCCCCCCCCCTCTTAAAATAGTGATATACGGTTATTATATACTCTTAACATTGTAGATGTAGAATAGGAATCTTCGGGATTGTCAATATATAAACTCAAAAAAAAAGTTACAATATTTCCTACGTTCCTCATTTATATTATATATGTCGTTGGAGTTTAATAAATCCAGAACTATGGTTGACCTAGTTTTATTTTAGAAAAAAAATGTTAAAACTGATGCGTTTCTGAAATCCGATTCTGGCAAAATCAGCTTTTGAAAATAATTTTTTTTTTAAAAAACATGCGCTCTAATTATCATTTTTGAGTATCTTTCACTTGTATCTGTTAAAATTGAAATTATCGGAACCCCAAGCCATTATATGCTGCATTTAAATCAGAGACCTGCAGAGGTACCCTTTGCACGGCCCGGCCCGGATTAAAAAATTTTCGGCCCGGCAAGGCCGATTTTTTTTTCAAAAATTTTTTACAGCCCGGCCCGGGTTTAAAAATTTTAGGCCCGTCCCGGATATTTAAAAAAAATTTTTAGGCCCGGCTTGGAATTTTTTAAAATTATATTCGACCTGGTATATACAAAAAATTCATTTATTTTGTATTTTATCATATTTTTCGGCGAGTATTATCATTTAATAAACAAGCTATAATGTTGTTAAACGGCTAGTTCTGAGCCACATTTTAAAAACGGCTAACTCAATATTTTCGCCAGAAAAATATTGAGTAAGCCTCGAAATTTCGATACTATATGTCTAGACCTTAGCTCCTTCTATGAGCAAAATTTTCAGGCTTGATATTTTTCTGGATAAAAAACTGAGTTAGCCGTTTTTAAAAATCGGCTCAAAACGAGCCGTTTAACAACACTAATATTTTATTTTTTTTATTCTAAACAGATATTTAGTATATTACAATTGATACTATAAAAAATTTGTGTAAATAATATTTTGAGAATATACTATATTAATTGTATTTATAAAAAAAATAAAATTGATATTTTAAGTAATAAAAAATATAACACATATTATATAATAATGTAATCAATCCTTTGCGTATTTATTCCATGGCAGGAAAACTACAATTATATTATGAAATAGATACGAGTGTTAGCTAGTGTTAACTTTCATCAAACATTATATTAATCATAACTATATTTAATTATTATAACCATATCTAATTAACGAATATAATAATTCATGTTGTATAAATTTTTTTAAAAATTACGGCCCGGCCCAGGTATTTAAAAAAAAAATTTCAGGCCCGGCCCGGGTTTTTTTTTAAGAAAAAATTTTCAGGCCTGGCCCGGGTATATTTTAAAATACCCAGCCTTGGTGGGCCGGGCTTAGGGCCAGGTCTGCAGGTCTCTGATTTAGACGGAGATTTGCTTACTTGTAGCTTTTTAAAATTATTTACTTCTTTTTTTTTAATTTAAATTTATTTAGTCATTAAACACAATGACGATACCCGACCTCGTCAAAACTTACAATAAAAACATGGGATTGCAAACGAAAAGTTACGTTCTATACGAATTATGGAAGAGGGAAGGGGATAAATTTATCTTTGATCAAGGTTCTTCAATATATTTTTTTTACATATTTTTGTTCATATTATATGCTCCCTCTAGTCATGCCGAGTATTGTTAAACGACTCAATTTACGATTTTCTGTCTGGCATTGCATGCACTATGTTAGAATATTTTTTTTCTTTCTCTCAATACTTTTAATAATCTCATGGCTCACTTTTTTTAAAAAATTATAAATTTCTTAGAAGAAACGGTATGTGTAATAAAATACAAATTATGCTATTAAGGGATACTTATTTTAAATAAATTTTTTTATGCTATTCTAGCAACATAGCAGTTTATTTCATTACAGACGTGATTGTAAATATTTCAATAGCAAGCAAGGATCAATTTAGCTTATATAATTTCAAAATTTCGATGGTGGAAGTTGTAAATATGGTAAAAGCACATCAAACAGTATGCCAAAATCTAACCGTTACAAAAAGGTTTTCTAGAAAATGTGAGAAAGTACCTACACATTATCAAGTGAAGAGATTAAAAAAAACCTAAAGACTCATTGGCCCAAATATAGCGATGAGAAGGGAAGATGTAAAATGCCAGGTTGCTTATTTACAACAAAAGGCTTGTCAGAAATGTGGAATGTTTTACACCCAAAAATAATTGTTTTATAGATTTTCATGAAAATTAAAAAGTTAATACATAATATGTGTTGTACTTAAATAAAATTATATATATAATTTAGAGTATAATAAAAATTATTGTGGAAAAAATTCAAATTTGTATTCTTTTATTGCATGTGTTCATTACACTTACCGTTCATCTTCTAAGAAATTTAGAAATTTTTATTAAAAAGTGAGCAATGAGATTATTAATAGTATCTAGAGAAAGAAAAAAATGTATTTTGGCAAAAAAAATATATATGCAATACAGGGTTAATAGTACTTACATTGTATAGATGTTTAATAAATAATTCTGTCCCTTGCGAGGTATCTTAGCCTAGTCCATAACTAAAGGGGGGGGGGGGGCACTTGGATTTTCTTTTCGCTTAAAACATACGGTAACAGATTAAATCATGGGGAAATTTTCATATATTATTTTTTTTTTTAATATTTTTTTTTAATTTATTTTTTTTAGATTGTCTGGATTTTGGTAGAAATTTTTGAATGTTACCTTTTTCTTTCAATTGGCGTATTTTTAGATTTTTTTTTTGATAAATAAATATCGTGTGGATTTTGAAGGAAATTTTTTGATACAATATCAAAGTTTTTTAAATTTAACATTTTACCTCTTTATGGATAACATAAATTTCACCAATATGTGTATTTCTTATACAAGGACCATGGCTTTTTTAAATTAAATTTTTAAATGATATAAATTTATATAGAACTATTTTTGTTTTTCCTTAAAAATATATATATCTATATTATCATTGTATATATGTTATGTTTATTCAAATAAATTGATTAATTATTTAGTATACCTATTTTTATTAAATTCTTAAATATACTCTGTTTTTCTAAATTCTTAAATATACTTTTTTTCTAAATTCTTAAATATACTCTTTTTTCTAAATTCTTAAATATACTCTTTTTTTCTAAATTCTTAAATATACTCTTTTTTTCTAAATTCTTAAATATACTTAAGATTTTTTTTAAATTTAAAAAAAATAATAAATAAAAAAATATATTTTAAAAAAAATAAATAAAAAAAAAATATTAAAAATAAATAAATTAAAAAAAAATAATATATGAAAATTTCCCCATGATTTAATCTGTTACCTATTTTTTATTTTTTCCCCCTTTAAGTAAAAATCTCATTACATGGCTGTATGTATAAATTTTGTCAGAATATTTATGAAATCTACATTTTATTTTAAAAAATTAAGTCTAATTATAAGTGTCAATTAAATACATTCATTAGTATGAAGCATTTTTGAAGAATATATTTTGTTGCAACTGTGGTCTTTTTATCTAACAAAAAAATTTTTGTGAATTTTATTTTACTCTTGATCATCTTATTGTTCTTCTGGAAAATTATAAAATAAAAGGGTCAAAAATAATATTATTAAAATATAAATATTGTCTAAAGTATAAAATCGTAACCCCAGGCAAAAATAATGTTTTGTAATTTTTTCTAAATTGAATGCACTATAAAATAAACTGTTAAAAAATGTGTAGGAAAATATAGAAACTATTTATGGAAATAAATGATATTTTTCTTTTTAATCTCTAAACTTATAGCATAAATTAAACTTTTTCGCGTGCATTATTAATTAAAATTCACAGTACACTTGATCATTTTTTTTACACAAAGAAAATCAATAATGAAGTACATAAGATGATATTAGGAATCTGCAATGCATGCCCGGTAATGGGTTGGGTCGGGTAACGTCCGAAAAAATTTATTTGGAACTGGCTGGGCATCCTTAAAGTAGAGATGCCCGCCACGCTTAATTCAGAAAAGAAAAATATTATTGCAAAGCCTAATTTTGTTTAAAATAATATTGTTATGATTATAATGATTAAATGAAGTCTGCTAGTATGATCATTCATTCATAAATACGATTTCTTTTTACTTTTCCTACATTTTGTGTTTATTGCTATAATAAGAAAATAATAAAAATAAATCCTCATCAATTTTCGGTTAGTTTTTCATAGGATATACTCCTGAATTTAAAAAACCTGACCGGACATCTTTTGTAAAAAAATTGGAACCGGAATCCACATATATATTTTTTTTGATAAGTAAATGATAACTCCTGTCAATTCAAGCCCAGGGTACCCAAAATATCTTAAAATTTTGAAAATAAAAGAGTTTTTATGATTACTTTATAAATTTTAACAATGTTCTGTTACAAAAAAAAGAGGCCATCAGCGAAAAAATGGATAACCTTATACATCAAGCTGGAAGTTTTAAATTATGGTTAGTGATCTCTTATATATTCTTATTGAATGAATACAAATCTGTTGTATTATTTTTTAATATTATTGTTAACATACATTATTGTGATGTAAATTTGTTTTTTTTAAAATAAATTATAAGGATTTTTTTTTATTTTAATATAGGGGCGTTGTTAGGTATTTATCCGCCATAAGAGGTAAAATGGCCGATTCGCTGGCTCCCTCTTTAACATCTTTATTGGTGAGGGGAAAACAGGTTGAAATTTTAGTTTTTATATTTCGATTCGTTTGAGCTTTCATGCCATTAAGGTATTTAATTATCAATCTAATATTTGTAAAAAAAAATGGCTTTTGAAAGTTTTTTTAAACTTTACTATGTATGCCATCATTACACATTCATAAAAGATGTCCATTGGGGTTTTTGGACAAGAGGAAGAGATAATCGATAAGCCCATCATGCCGAACGTCATTAAAGAAATCTTATACAGAATGACAATGCCTTATGACATTTATCAAGCTGTTCTGCAACAGGAATTACTGCTCTACGTAGCCGGAATTATCAATACTAAACCATTTCTTTTTCAGGGGATATTAACTATTAGGCTTGGGTATATCTATTTTTTGTTAGGGCAGCCATGTTATACAAAATATTTTCTAAAGAAAAGTATCTCATAATTTAGTTAAATTGGAATTGCTTGTAATTTAAGAAAAGGGGGGGGGGGGGGGTTGCTTTTTATTTTAATAAAATAATTTACCGCATATTTGTGCTATATAACCGGAAGTGTAACCTTTTTTATTTTTATAGTCTCCAGTTTCATTTCTGGTATAAATTTAATGACCAAGTTCAAAATAAAAATCATATATACCTAGTCTTTACTTAATCTATAACTTGTTTTTTTTAACATTATTATCTTTGAAATATCAAGGATTTTTTTTTATTTAAATGAATTCCCCCACCCCGTTAAATTTCAGTTGGTTGATTCACGCGATTGAAACAGAAATTCAACATGAAACGCCACCATGCTCCGAAAAAATAGTAAGATTTTTTTTTCAGCGAACTAATTATAATTAATAAATATAATTTAAATATTTTTTCGTTGGTTTTATTAACCATACGACTAGATTTTAAATTATTTTTTGAGATTTTTGATCTGATGACATAATGAGCAAAAATTGAACAATATCAAACTCTTCAACAAACGCTATAAATCAAATATTCTTTCTCTTAATTTGTCAAATTTAACTACATCCGTTTCATTCACTGCATCGCCGATACGGTTTTATTTCCCTAACCTCTATCACATTTTTAAAATAATTTATTTTTTTTATACTAAGATTTTTTCTTCTTTTAATTTCGTTTACCTTACTATTTGTATTATATTTGTATAATGAAGTAAATTAAAATTTATTGGAAGATATTTATTTATTTTTATAAAAAAAATGAGATAGATCTGCATTAGGCCTATTCAAATCAGAGACCTTCGTGGATCTTAGTTTTTGAGCATGCCCAGACCCGCAGTAAAAAAAAAATTTGGACCCATGCCCGCCCCATATTTAATATCAAAAAAAATCCCAAGCCCATATCCTAAATTTAAATTTATTGTATTAATTTTAATGATAATAAACAATATTTAAGTTTATTTAGGCAATCATTTTGTTTACAATACTGAAATTAATTAGAATAAAAAAATTGCAACATTTTTTTAAGTAGCAACTGTTTTAAATAAACTAAATTTTAATCATTTTATCCCTCACCCTCCAAGCCTCAGTACGCTAGAAAATATCCCATACCCGGTCCATGAAGGTTTCTAATTCAAATACGACTCAAATAATTAATTATCGTATTCGATTATTTTAAACGGATTGAAAAATTTATTATTCGATTCATGTTCGTTTTGAATTGGCCTATTCGCATTGAACCATGAATCGAAATGAAGTTGCATTTACAAATCGCGATGAAGATTTTAATTATTTAAAAAAATATTCCATTTTAGTGTTTAGGGTCACTCTATATTAACATATAATTATTTTAAAAGAACATACAATTTTATAATATGTATCTTAAAAAAAATTAAAAACATAAACTTCAATAGATGTTGCACAATCTAGCGCCTAGTATAATTAAAGAACTATTATACGAAGTACTCTCCACCAATAAAATTAGTGACGAGTAAATATACTCCTTTTTTTCTTTTTTAACTGACTACATTTTACTGCGATATTTGGGGTTTGGAATTTGCGGGAATCAGTTTCTCACAATTTAAATCATTTAACTGAGGGGGAATTTTTATATTTGTAAAATTTGATTTGACTTTATAGTTTTTATAAGGTGTAGCTAACCTACAACTATATGAATTTTTTTGAAGTACTTTTAATTTGTATTGATTTTTTTATACAATAAACTCAAATAGTTCATGAATAATATGTCTTATATCAACTATAAATTAGAAGGTAGGTATAGAAAGAGAGAGAGAGGTAGCGCCATGAATTAAGTTAAAGGTTCAAATCAAAAGCCTATTTTATTTTTGACTCATTTTAAAATTTGTATATATATTTTTTTTGAACAGTCATTTTTCAGCATGTCACGAGGATGGTACCAAAGTTAAACATGAAATTCTGACTGAGCCAAGGTTAATTACTCCATTTGGGCACGTTCCTGATTATAATAAATCCACTCCTTCGACATCGCCAGATAGGAAATCTATTGGTCTTAATAGAAGGTCCCACTTCTTGTTATTTAATTAGATTTAAGATGAATGGATTAGCATTATTTAACTATAAATTTCTAAGAATCGATATAGAAATTTTCCGGTCACCAATAAAATTTAATTAGTGTGATATTTAGATTGTTAAAATTTATAAAAATATGTTCTTAGACTAAGGAAATATTTTACCTATAAAAAATGTTTTTATTTTCGAGATACATAAGTAACATATTTAATTTTTTTTTAAAGTAAAATAATTTCGGAAATTTATTGATAAAATACTTCATGAGAACATATTTTTTTAGAAATTATTTGTGATTAGCATTTAAAAAAATTTTTACCCCTATTTATTTTTGTTATTCAATAGTTCCAAAAAAACCTCAAAACTAACGCATATTTGAAGAAAAATTATTTAAAAAATTTTTTGTAGCTCCCTTAAATTTAACGATCCTTTTTTAAATTTACTATTCATTTTGATTAATTTGCGGATATCCGAGGAGGACACGCTTTTTTAACGCGCCAGGTATGGAGGAATCCTTAAAAGCATTTTTGAAATATTATATATTGCTGGAATTTTCTAACATGTGTAAGCACCTCTTATAAATTTTAGACAATTTTGAGCTCAAATATTAACAAATATCTGGGAAATTAAAAATGTCTTGGTAAAATTATCCGAAATTTAGTTGGAGTTACAATTCTTTCAAATTTACCTCTTTAAAAAATTAAGAAACACGCGTCTTAAATGATCTAAATATTCTTCAATGCCCTAGTGTAACCCTGCAAAACCGAATTATACTAAATTCCTTTAAAGAAAGATTTCTTATTTAGATGCGGCCTCTATTTTATTAAAAATAGCTTGTTTACGTATTTATTTATCGTTAAAAATGAAGATTTTGATATATAATAAAAAAAAAATTTAATTGACCAATTAATAAACAAAACAAAGTTTCAACACCAAAGTGTATTTTTTTTTAAAAAAATTCGAGTATTACAATGAACCTTATTATTTTTTAAAGGCTTATTAATTTTTTTTATCTTTATGGTTTATTGGCGGTTCCAGGTTTACCCGGGTAAGCTACCTCGATTCCTCTCCATTTTGTACGATCGTCGCTAATTCTAAGTCCCATTGTTTTTATGTCACCCATTATCCTTTCCATCCACGTCTTTGTTTGTCCTCCTCTAGGCCTTGATAGAGAAATAATTAAATATATAAGATCTAATTTTAGATATGGTCTGTTACCAGTTTGGATCCGGTACAGTTATAGTTTTTAGTATTCATATTTATAAATTTTAAAAAAAAATGGAAATCTATTAATAAAACATTTTTTTTAGGTCGAAAGTAATTTTTTTAAAATTTTATTATTTGGCGAAAGGAGGTATAGTCAACACTATGGTACTCAAATTTTCTAGCACACATAATTATGTTTAAATATTGTTATAACTTAAGAATATATGACGAGATATTACATTTTTAATTTTTTGGAAAACAACTGAGATATTTATTCTTATAAAAATTATACAAATATTTATTAATGAAATTGTATTCTACTATTTTTTTAAAGTTCTATATTCATAAAGTATAACTATCACGTATTTAAAATTGATAATATAGTCTTAATGTGATCTTAAACGATTAATATAAAAAATGGATATAAACTAACAATTGAAAAGGAATCCGAGATGCTACACTCCCCCCAGAACCTTGCTTTCTTGCCCAGAAACTAGGGCTTAGTCTTCCCCTAATGCTCGTGAAGAGACATAAAAATACGAATTTAACTATATTTTAAAAATTAAGTTCTATAATTTTTTTAATATTTTATCTAAATGTCAAAGTAAATAATATTTTATCACTTAAAATTTATTGGTGAATGTTTGATTCCGTGTAGTTTCTTTTGAATTAATTATGTTAAAATTTAATCCAATGAATAGGAATATACCATTGGACCGGGCTGACATTTCATCTTTAAAATATCGGTTATCGGCCGATATTATAAAAATATTCATGAATATAAACTTAACTGATCATTATAATATATTTAAATGACTTATGTTTTGATATAGTTAAATTATTATAAAAAGTATATGAGACGAGTATTTAATGCATTAAAAATTAAAACTATTAGTATGTTTACAGAATACAAAATCCGATATGATATCGGATCGGTAATTGGCCGATATCAATTTTACATCGGATTGACCTCCAAAAAGTGGTATCGGTGCACCCCTACCAATTAGTTTTGGGAGTGATGCAAATGGCTTAACCCGAAATTAAATATTTTTAAATTTTTTATAGAAATTATCTTTCTCTCTAATCGTATTTTTTATATCCCAAATAATTATTTAACAAAAGTCCCATGAGAAGGCGAATTCTTGAGGGTTCTCTCAATAGGGTTCCTAGCGACTTGTACCAGCGAGTATGGGATGTTTTACAAAAGACCCCCATGGGTATAACCGTTCATGGTCGACATTTACCTCAGCAACCAATACTTTCTGAAATGACCAGAACAGAAAGCAATTTCTCGCTCACCATTGAAAGGCTATTATGTCAAGATCCTGACCCAGCTCATAGACAGATTGTGGTCGAGTTATTTATGGTGGCATCCACTATCTTGGAGAGGAACCCCGAACTCTCATTCAGAAACTGTGAACTCAATGTCGATAAGGTTAGCTCGTTTACTTTATGAATGTTTTTAAGTGGATCATCCTTTTTCGCCATCCTATAATTGAAAAAAAAAGGTTATTAAATTTGAGGGGTGGAGAAGAAAGCAGATAATCTATTAATTTGTGAATATTATATGGTAAGATTTATGTAAATAATCCTATAAATTGGATTTTTTATTTAATCGGAAATATTTAACGATCATTTATAATAGAATTACTAAGAAATATATTTATTTTTCTTTCTAGAAAAGATGGTAATTATTATTTTTTAAATCAATTCAAATTTTATGATTTTCTATTTTTTGGTTATATGATTGATGCCATATTTATTTCATAGATTATTTGGGAAGCATATACCTATTTCAAAAAAGAAAGGCTTTTGCAAAATGTCCCCAGTTCCCATCATCTACCATCTATAATAGAAATCGATGATGAAAAAATTGATCTTAAACCCAAAAAAGAAGCCACGCTTAATGATGACATGGTGGATTTCTATGACACACCTCCTAATACACCCAATGGCACCATGTTGTTTTTAGCCAAGGCTCTTATAAATATCTTGCTAAGCAGTCAAAATGTGATGGAGGGTAGGATAAGTGAAGAGAGAAGTAACTCTAATGAGTGCAATGTCAATTAAACATCAAATAAAAAAATTGCAAAATAAATCAATAGATAGAATTGTAAAAGTTAATTTGATCAATATTTTAAGGAACAAAAAAACTTTAAGGTCAATGCAAATTATCTAATCTTAATCAATTTATAAAATATATACTATTATCTACAAAATTAAACATTTATAGTTTTAAATTATTCTGAAAGATTATTCATATGGCAAATTATTATTTATATAGCTAAGATTTATATTAGATTTGATTAGTGTAATTGGATATATATTGTTATACAAATCGCGAATAAATCTTTATTAGTATTTATTTATAAATACAGAGATAAAAATTTTGCCTAAAAATATAATATGTTATTTAACAAAACAAATTATTTTGCATAAAAATATAATGTTATTTAACAAAACAAATTATAAGACATTGTAAATCAAATTATTACTAACTTAATATATGCAGGTAGTTTACAGGATTGTATGAAATTATCTATAAATATATAAAAAATGTGAGAATACTTTAAAATTTTGGAATTGTTTGCAATTTGTAAATGACTAGATTCATGTATATTAAGTAAAACTTTAAAAAATTAGCTACAATCAAAAATTAAGAAGTCAAAAATTGTGTTATGCTCTGTGCAATAAGCTCTGGAGTATTCATATGTAAATGATGTGTGCCTGGATACTCCTTCATCAGAAATTTAGATCCTAAAATTTTTTTTAACAATGATTCATATTCAATGTATTTTGCCTCACTTATAATTTCACCCTTTATATGACTATTTTTCCCTAAAATTACATAAGTAGGGCATTTAAGTTTATTCAAAAAGAGTTTCCAATGATCATCAGAAAAATACATTGGTGTTTTATAGTGAAGTCTTATGTCTCTATTCATTTTATAAGTATTGGCATCATCTATGTTTTGAGTCATACCTCTTTGTAACATAATTTTGGCTGATTTTTCATTTAATGATTGAAATTCCAATAATCTTTTGATAGCATTATCATAGGTATAAGGTTTATCTCCAATGTCTGGATCATTTTCATATATAAAATTCATTTTAAGACTTTGTTGTAATATATCATAACACTTATCTACAGGATAATTATAAGGTGCAACAACATCTAAGCTAACACATTTTTCAATTTTGTCTGCAAATAATGAAGCATACAATAAGCATACCCCAGCTCCCATGCTATGGCCAATTAGTGATATTTTTTCATTTTCATGATCCCATTTCATAAATTTTATAACTCTAGCTAATTCGAATATCCAATTAGTAAAATAATACTGAGATCCATTAGGTAAATGACTAGATTTTCCATGTCCTGATAAATCTATAGCTAGAAATGTTATATTTTGGGGCAATAAGCTAATTAATGGGTCAAAGGAATTTGCATTATCTAACCAACCATGAACACATAAAACTTTTTTTGATTTTAAGTCATTATTCCATAATTTTCCAGCAATGTGACCCCAAGGAACAGGTATTTCAACTTCTTTATATGGACTATAAAGATTGATATGGTTTGTCTCCTATTAATAATTTATACATAAACAAAATATAATAATTTACATAAAATTTTTTGGACATAAATGCTTTATTCAAAATTAAATGTGATCGGTTAATATATATACGAATAAGACTTAGATTAAGCATAAAACTACATGGTAATTAATATAGATAAATAATCATACCATATTATAAAAATGGAGTTGTTAAAAACATCGACGTTGATGGTTGACAATAAAAATAGAGGGCGTTAATATTTTATAGAAGACTATTTATATAAATGTTTGGGACGGCATAAATCCAAATAATATTCTTTCTTTTCTTTATTTTGAATCTAATATAATAGCTTCTTTATGTTATCTTTAAATTTTATTTAGAATTTATTGAAAAACATTTATATAAAACCTTAAACACAAGGAAAATAATTGAAAAAATAGAAGCGTAAAAATTTTATTCTTTTTTCATTTTTAACATTGACAAAAATTCTGTGTGTATTGTTGGAAAATTATTAAAATTTTCAAAAGCTATTATTTAAAGAGTTTAGATAATAGCCTGGCTCTTGAATTTTCTATTTAGAGGCCAGACTCTATATTTACCCTATTTATATTCATTATAATAATATATTGAATTGCTATTAATTTTTTTAAGGTCGACGTATATCAGGTATAGTCTCACTAGGGAATTAGAAGTTGAAACTACATCAATAATCCATTATACTATATTTTTAATTATAGCTCATTTAAATAATCATATGAGAAATGTACATAATATCAACTTGCAATCAAATTCTTTGTTAAAAATAGAATATCAATATCCCTCACTAAATATTAATTTAGCATTAACAGTTGAAGCTTAATTTACTTTTATTATTTAAATTATTATATAACCCTAATTAAATAAATATTAGTTTAATATTAACAAATTTAATATTGAAATTAGCCGAGTTCAAGATTACTAATCAACTATATTATTGATTTTTAAATTTAATTATCATACCTCTTCCTAAAATTATTTTCAAGATCCAACTCCAAATAGTATAAGAGATTTATTTATAAAAAGTAAGTAGACATATAGTTTATAATCCTCTATTATATATAATTGGCTATAAAATATTAGGTAAAATGCCACTTTTACAGACGTTGACAGTTATAAATATATTACAGTCAATATTTTAATAAATTTTACTAATAAATGCTTTTGATAATAAATATAAGTAATAATTCGCATTCAAATATTTAACGCCATCTATTTATTATTTAATATCTTATTCTACTTCCCACAATAGATGTAATAAATTATATATATTTCTTTTTTACGTGTTTTGGAAAGATATTTTTTCTTATTTGAAAAACAGTTTTGATTTAAATTTTTAATACGAGTATATTTTTGATATTTTTACAAACTACTTAGATATAATAAACCAACTAGAGGTGGTGCGACAATATATAAAAATCTTAATTGCTTTTGTCATATCACTCAGGTTCTTATTTTATAATTACAAAATGTTTTATTTCTAATATGGCATCCCTGCCGTGTAAATAACTTAAGGCTTCAATATATTTGCATAATTTCTAAAGATGTGTTTTTGTTTTATCAATTTATGATCTAACATAATAAATTCTGATATGAGTTAACATCGTTTTAGTGTCATGGCTATGACTGCAAATTATCCAGCATCTATTATTTGTGTGGCTATGTAATTTAAGATTATTTCTACAGCTGCTGAGCATATTTTATAAGCAATATCAACATTGTACTCGTTTATATATCATTAAAAATGGAAGATAATCTTTTATAAATTTAATATCTCACAATAATTTTCTCGATTATTTATCTAGTTTCCATCATGTCATCTAAGAGGAAGCTCAAATAACCATATAGTTTTATGATTTAGATTGGCAGTTTATATTCTTCAAGAATCGTTGATTTGGTTAGGCCTATAAGTTTTTCCTTATTAGTCCATTCTATAAAACATTGTCTAAAATGTTAACAGAGAGTTATATTAGTTTCACTACATTTTGTCAATGAGATGTTAAGAATTATATTATCGCATTATGTGGTTTTTAAAAACTATTATCAATTGAGGCATATGTATAAATTAATTAACCTTTTTTATCACTTGTAATTCCTTAGAAGCAAAATTATTTTAAATCAGCAATCGAAAATATTTTATACTGTAATAAATAGATTTTGTATTAAAAAATATTAATTTTAGAAATGTCTTGTATTATTTTAATTATTTATATGCTAGTTTATTTTGTATGCATAATATAATAAATGACAAAATAGACAAAATAATTGTTCAGAGTTAGCAAATTTAAAAAAAGTATAATATATTAATATAAAACCCGGAAATTTTTTTTAGTTGAGCTCCCTGAGATTGTAAAGGCTAGCGACGCCCCTGAACTACAGAGATAATAAATGGGGGTCAAGAGAAATTTTCTAACTTCTATTAGACATCGAATTCCTTCATCCACATAAGGGTTAGCGAAATTTTATTAACCAATCTTAAAGAATTCTAAATAGAAGCTAAATACAATTGCTAGCTCATGATACGCCGCTAATATAATATTAGCCACCAGATATATGATATAACATTTTATTACAAAATACAATAAAATGATTTATAGCAATAGGTACTTAGCACATATAATTAATTTCATTTTGAAGCTCTGGATTCATTTCAAGATTAGGAAAAATTGATATACTTATGAAAATGCTACATAGAAGTCCTAAACTAAATCAAGAATATATGGTTATGTGGTGGAACTAGAATTCGAATGGGCGTCGCAACTAAATGGAATAGTAGATATTTAATGATATCGATAACAAGGCATATTCATTTGCGGATTTTATTTCTGGAATATAAATGGATTTTTATAAAATTTTAGTCTTAAATATCCAAAATAATCATAAGTACGAAATTAGATGTGGACATATCCTCACCACCCCCACCAGGGGCAAACCCATCCAAACAATAAAGCAGGCATGGCAATAGCCCCGAGTCATCATAATTAACTATTTTAAGAATCGCCGAACTTTCATTCTTGTGTATTGACTTTGATTTCCTTTTTTTACGATTTCAATTTTTTTTTTGTGGATTTTCATTTTGCTAATTTGTATTTCCTTTTTTTGGGGCTTAAGTGAATCGTAAGTTTTGAATCCAGCTACTAGTTTGGTGGAACAATTTTTTCTAAAACCAACTTTTTAGACGGTTATCTAAATATGGGAAAGGTGTAATAAAAAATAATATAATAATATTTGAATTTTACGACTAAATATCCAAAATAATTTTAAGTATTAGATATGAATAAATCATCTTCCCTGTGAGACCAGTTTATTTCTAAAACTAACCTTGGACGAGATTAGTTCAAAAGTTAAAAAGTTATCCTTAAACTTTTTATTTATTATTATTTGATTTTGTATTCGATTATAGAAGATTTCTTTATAATATATATTTATTTAAAAAACCAATTAAATGTTGTTTACAGTAAATTACAATTTTTAAAATTAAGGCAATATTATTATTATTAGTAAAGTAAAATGTAGGTGGCAGGAAGCATTTATGGAATAGTGACTAGATTTTCAAATATATTGTTTTTAGAGATAAAAATTTGTGCAAGCCGATTATAAAGTCATAATATTTAATCTGCAAGCTTTATTACTTTATTAAATTTTTCAATTTTAAGAATCGTTTTATCGTTTTATTCTATTTTCTATGTTTTTTTTCCCGTGGCTATTTTTTTTGGAATCAAAAAAAATAATACAAGTGTCTTCCTTAAACTGTATTTTGAGTGATACTAATTAAAAATATCCTCTCAGTTTTGAAAGTCATCTTAATTAATTAAACTCAATTCCTAATTCAATTTCTTTTAAAACAACCAAATAATCTGCTAAAATTCATAAAAGTCTTATTCGTTGTTATGTCAGAAAATCTTGATACATTAAAAATTTGTATTGGTAAAAAAAATTACTTTTGAATGACATTTCTTCCAACATTTACACGAAAATAAAATTTATTAGAGGCAATCCCCCTATAGCTTACCTCTTAAATCCAAAAATGTTTTTACTTATCTCGTAGCATTTTTTGCTGAGCAGAAATATATCTTTCACATTGATAATATATCTTCAATTATATTATTTTCGTTAGAGACAATGATCAAGAAATTTATATTTGTTGAAAATATGATGTTATTATAATTTTTTGTAACTGAGACTTTCTTCATTTGTGAGATTGTATGGATTATTTTCTTCTAAGGATAGTCAATTATCTTTTTGATGGCTATAATTTTAAATTATATATTTGTCACTTTATATGAAAATTTTTATGTTTGAAATGACCATTAATATCCCTTCATTGAAGCTTGACAAATAGGATATTGGAATTTGACTTTATATTAGGTTTTTATTACTTTTCTTTAGTAAATCTTTACTGAAATCTTAATTTAACATGTTTTAAATATATATTTTTATGAATTAAAAAAATTCAAAAAAGTTATTGTTACTTTTCTATTAGATCTTTACTAAAATCTTAATTTAACATGGGTACAGTTACCCATTTGCCTTAAAAATAGTTTAAATTACGATTAGCATAGTATATATCTTTACATCTTAATATAACATACTTTCAATAATATTTTTATCCACTTGCATCAAAAAAATTCGAAAAGGTTTAAAAATAAAGATTATGATAATTATCATTTTTTATGGTACATCTTCATTGAAATTTTAATTTAACATGTTTACATGCAATATATATTATCTTTGTAGATCATTGATCAAAAATATTTTTAAATAAAGGATCTTCAAATTTTGTAATTATCACGAACATTCAAGATCTTTGCTCATTTATTTAAAAAAATAAAAAATATCAAATTTTATACTCTTCAAAGAAGGATTTTGAAGATCACTCATAGTTTTTTTTGAAATAAAAGATCTTCAAATTTTACAACCTCAAATTAGATTTGTTGGACCACAAGTGCTTATCTAGCCTTTACAATCTCAGGCGTAGATCAAAAATTTTTTTATTAGATTATTTTCAAATTAACCTTTTTATTTTATTTTTAAAGGTTCAATAAATAAATTTCAAAATTTTAAAGGGGCGATTCAAATTTTTCAGAAGGCTCTAGCTCCTGTGCCCCCCCCACTCCCCATCAGTGACTCTATAACGACTCAAATTGAGCCGTATAAAAACACTATTTCAAAGATCTTGCTAAATTTTTGGGAGAGATCTTGATCAAAAATTTTCAAAGAAGATCTTTTGTACAACTCTGACTAAAATAATCTTAAAAGTTAAAATTTTTAGATTTTTTTTACTTTTTAATTGGCAGATATATTTTATTCCATTTGTTATTTTCAGAATAAATTCAAGAAAAAAGTTATTTCTGCTTAAAGTAAGTAGTCAAGTAGCAGAAAGGTTATATAATTTGTCTATCATTTCAAAATATGATTTTAAGTAATAATTATCAACAACTTAAAATAAAAAGATCATTTCGATATATATATATATACAAAATAATAATGAACAAAATTGAATAAGGTAGTATAAAATTTCACAAAAATTGAAATAAAATATAAATTAGAAAGTGAAAACAAAAATAATTTTAATTTGATTTGAATAACATATAAAAATAAGTTTTATATTTAAAACTCCTTGTTATCACATCAAATTTTATTTTTAAAATAAGATTTTTTATGGTAGTAAATTACAAAATCTATACTTACAAAAGATTTTTTAAAATAGATTTTGTTATTTATAGATAAAATCAGCGTCTACATAATTAGGAAAGGGGGCAGGAGGGGGTAGAAAAAATTTGCATCTAATATTTTGAGGGGTGTAGGCCCCTTTAAAGGGAGTAGGATAAATATTGGGGAGTTATCTATTAAATTTTTAAACGAAGTAGGGCAAAATATATTGCTGTAAAAATGAATGCTTTTATTATAAGCCTATTATAATATAAGATATTACTAATCATCGACCAAATCTATATATAGCATAAAATCATAGACAATATTTTACATATAAAACTTTCTGCTATCCTTTTTGTAATATAGGGTTAGACATTCTCAGCAAACACTTATTCATTCCAAACAATTTACTCAAATAATGCATTCACTGTAAATGATGGGATGGGGTTTTTTAATTAAATTCACCATAAATAACTCTTTTATCTTCACAATATTTTGATTGTTGTTAATAAAACTAAATAATTTAATTATTTTTAAAATTTATGAAGAGAGTATTATTATAATTAAAAGTGTGAAATTAATAATGTATAGGGGAGTAGGCATAGATTTTTGAGGGGGGTGTTTACCCAGTAAAAATCTTGTCCTAAAAACGCTGGATAAAATTTTATTAAAAACATTCGTCTATTCATTACAGATTTTTGTTCAAAAATTTAAGATATTTTTCAAACTCTGGAATGACTTTAATATTCTTAAGTATAATTATAATGGGATAATCCTTTCTATCTTCTATGAATGATATCTCCAGACTTACATAATATTATTTTGGTTAAAATCTTAATCAGACCATTTTTATAAATCTATCCAAATGGGGCAGTTTGACAACACTAATCACAATTGATAGTCTACTATAATAACTCAAAAAATTAAAAATACCCGCCCCCCCTCCAAAAAATAAATAAATAATTAAACCCTACCCCCAACCCGGTCTCTTCAAATTTTCCGCTTGTTCGGATTGTATGTAAAAAGTTCTTAAATTTTTAGAAATACTATGTTTTTGAAAAAAGATTAGGTTTTTGAAAAAAGTTACTATGTTTTTGAAAAATTTACTATGTTATTAAAAAGCAACTGTGTCTAAAAAAGTCAATTATAGAATACTTTTTCATTTGAAATATAAATGATTGAGTTTATTTAATCTGAATAATATACAAAGTTATTAATATAAATAAAAATTTATTTCTTATATTTTCTTCATATGTTTATATATATGTCAGGTATAATATGTGATAAAAAGCTAAAATACAACATTGTAAGTGCAACTAAAATACATTGTTAATATAATTGAATTTTAATATGATCATTTAAAAATCATTCTATTATTTTGGTGGATCTTTTATTAACGTATTCTACAATATTTAAATTTTTTGGAAACAGACGATTCTTTTAATGTAATCTTCGCTTTCTATTAAATGACTTCAATAGTGGCCACGAAAATAAGTAATTATATATATCTATCCAAATTTATATTACTAAATAATTTATAAAATATAAATTTTTTATTCATTATATTTATAATTTTTTTATGAACATTTACTTCTATTAAATCTATTTTTTGGGTTTATTGCTTTGGATAAAAATTTTTATTACAACTTTGGATGTGCGACTTTTTTAAACATTATGCTGACATTCTACAATTAAATCAATCTAATTTATAACCAGACATTTTAGCATTAGTTTATTTCTTTAAACAATAAATATGATTAAAAATTTAAGATATAGGTAAAAATTGTGGATCGGTTTTACTAGCTATAAATAATATAACCTTAATAACACCTATATTATAATAGTGCTAATAAAGTTAATACATAATTTTTTGTATTTTACCAAAATTGACAATAGTACTAATTTAATAATCAAGGTTTATACATTTAAAAACCTAGGGCATATAAATAGCAAGTTAAGGTTTTGTGATTATGATAATTTGATTATCTTACTCTAATATAACACTTAATAAAATACTTTTTATAATGAGTTCTAGTTTTTATTATATTATTTAAAATTTCTGATTACTCCTGGTATTGCCCCACTATATATTTACATTTCTGAAATTGTCATCCAAAGAGAATATAATTTAATTTAAAAAAATGATTTAAAATGTTTTTTATATTTATTTATCACAAATATCAATATTTATTATCAATGAAAATGTAGATATATGTACTTCTGATTAAAATTAAATACAAGCTAGTGTAAAGGTTTGCAAAGCCTTCCTATCCAGTCCATTGAGTAAGGTCGGGATTATTTTTTTAATAATACTGGGCCAGGCTTCTGATATTGCATAAAAGTGATAATCAATAAAGTAAAGTTTTGAAACTACTACCCAATATAGATGTTTATTTTGGTGTTTTACTACAAATATTTTACTTTTTAATATTTAATCATTATGTAAAAGGCCTTGACATAATTTATTTCATAAGAAAAAAAGCATATTATGATAAGATTTTTTCTAGTATTCTATATCTTATTCAATGATTACTTGGATTAATTTATTTATCATTGATTTTTTTCAAAAATGATAAAGGTAATTAATTTGGATCAACATAATGTTTAATATATATTTATATAAATATCAAATCTTTCTATGAGCAGAGGCATATTCTTATAAATTTTTTTAGCTCATAATAAGTATCAGCCCAATACCGCCAATATTAACCACTGATAATCTTCTTTTTTTTTAGTGTTTTTAAATTTTTAAATGATTTAATCATGGTTTGAAAATAATATATATATAAATTTATGAATTTATTTTAAGGCTATGCAAGCATTATATAAAAAAAAGAATAAAAATATAATCATCAAGGAAGACATTTCTTTTTGAAAATATGTTTGTTAGCCCAACATGGAAGACAAAAAAGGAATACAAAATAAATAAAAAAAATTGAAAATATGATACCTGTAAAAAAACCTCTGCTAAAAGATTTAGAGTCCTTTGTAAAGGAAGCGATTTAGGAACTAAGGACATTATTTTGTTGGGCAGTACATTTTAATGGATTATTTTAAGATTAAATTTGACCTAGTGTAAATTAATTTTAAAATTGTTTTTTTTTACAAACTAACGAAAGTATTATGAATATTTAAGTTAGTTTTGTTAAGATGAATGGCTAGTTCTTAACATGTTGTCATTGCTCAAAATGCGTTTTGTTCAAATAAATATATTTACCCATGCTTAAAATGCCCTCTTCCCCATAACGACTCTACTAATAAATATGATCACTGTAAATTTAATTGAATGACCATTTTATAGGAAAATTTTAAATTATAATCGCTAGTTTTGTGATAGGTAAGGTAAATATAACCGCTACTATACGCTTATGACCAATCTAACATTGCTTATTTTGAATTTATATATTTAAAAAATAAACATCATTAACTGTCAAATATCTATTAACAGGTATAATTAAAAAAAATAAAAGAATTAATCACAATTACAATTTATAATATTTATATAATATATTTCCGCATCCGCATAAAGACGACATCGAGTTATATATATATTTTTTATATAATTCAATTATTTTATCTATCAAAAAAAATCACTTTTATTAAGTAAGTTATATAAGTAAATAATATTATTATATAATTATTTAATAAATAGGACACAAATGCTGATTATTATTTTTTAAATTGCTGAGGGAATGGAATGCAATTTTGTACAAATATAATTATATAAGTTATTACGAAATCTAAGATATTATTATATGTGGTAGCACAATTTTTATAATGTTGATTGGGAATGTGGAATGTGGATTATAGAAGAAAACCAATTTATCGGATAAAATAAACTTAAAAATATTTTAAAAAAAAATTGTTATAAATCCCTGTCGATGTATTTGATAATAGATTAAAGTGTATCTTAGGTTTTAATGACAATATATTAAAGCGTGTCTTAGGTTTCAATATTTTTTTACTATTCGATCAAATATATACAAATGTTTAGTTTAACTTAAAAACTAAGATTATATTTTTAGTTTATGTCATATATATTTGCTTAAGATTTATATGCATCTCATTTCCGAAAGTTGTAAACTACGTATTTTAGAATTTTTATATTGATCGCTGTCTTTCATTTTTGACAAAATTAACTATATAAATAAATAAAATATTATATTAAAATTTATACCTTTTTTTTATGGTATGTGTATTCAAATTGATGTACGCAATAGAAAAGATGTTATGAATCTTTAAAAATTAAAACTGGAACAATTTTATAAAGCATCGTTCATAAAATATTCTAGGGCTGGGGATTTTTAAATAACCTAGTAGCCGAGTTCGCAATTTAATATAAGCCTGCCACATGGTAGGGGCCATTCCATATACAAAAAACTTGATTTTTGAGGGATCCCTTGGAATTTTAGTGAAATTTTTTATGCAAACTAAGGTACGCATAACCAAAACAATGTTCAAATTTTAGCATCATAGCTCTTATTTTTGTAGATATCAAGGATCAAATGAAAAATAACTGATCTATTGCCATTCAATTAAAGATTTATTAAAAACTATAGAATATAAATTATTCTAGGTTAAAAAAATTTAACTTTATTTTAAAGTTTAAAATTCAAGTAAAAAATAACAAGTTTCTCCGATTTTTAGAAATCGGTTTGATTTAAATCAATTTTTTTATTTCAACTAAATATAATAATTATAAATATTTATCACTTACAAATCATTTAACATTTTATTACAAATACCTTTTGAATGTTATTTAAACTTATTTTAGCAGTTTAATAAATGACAATTATTTAAGATTAAATTTATTTGATTTTATATTTGTACTATAACAAATAAAACGAAAATATACAACTTTTAAATTTGGATAGGGCTAGGCCAAAAACAAAAAACATTTTTTTCTAATGCTGCTACAAAAAAGACTTAATTTGAGATTATCTTTGCATTATCCAACAATTATTCTATTTTAGTATTTCCACAAGCCAATATTTTCGAGACATTATTTAATATGGTTGGCAAAAATATTTTACTTAAGGTTTCTAATATGGTTTGGTATTTAATTATTAATTCCAGGTGTGCACGTCATTGTTCGATACAATCATATATGTTATTATATTTTTGCAATAGATCCAAGGATTTTGTGATTGAGATTTGTATCTTGATTATTTCTATATGTTTATATTTTTTCCTCTAGATTTGTAACATCTATACACCCTAATTGCAGCATATGAGCGAGTGAGTGTTATGTTAATATCCACAAGCGATTTGGAAATGCTCAATCATTTCTATTAGGACGAGAATCCCAAAAAAAATTTGAAATTCCTGTGGATACATCATAAAAGGACCCGGCTCACCTCGAGCAATTTTTTCCACCTCGCTTTCACCTTCTCATATATTTTAAAAAATTTTAGTTAAATAATATTTTTTAAATAATGATTATAATATAAGAAGTAGTTCGGCAAGAATCCGGATTTTTGATCCGATCCAAATTATAGGGCATTTTTGAGAATTTACTGTGTATTAAAAAAAATACAACTAAAAATCTTAGGCATCTTTAAATAATATTTTCGTGAATTATCACCGAAGATAATATATTATATATCTATAATATTCTATTGTGATTAATTGTCAATGAGATCTGGTTTGAGCATGGAAAAGAAAATTACACTTGTGAATAGTTGACCTAGTAGTAGTTTAATAATATTTGTTATTTTAAATTATTTATAAACAATATTTATTTTTTTTTCACGGTCGAATTTGATAAAAAAATTTTTATTAGAGTTTATATGTAATAAATCCCTTAAAGCTTTATAAAAATTTTAATTATACTAATTATTAATCATATTATTTTGAGAGTATTAAATTGAAGGCTTGATTTTAAAAAAATATATCTGACTGCGTCCTATCTCATCTTATTTTTTTTATAATTTTAAATAAGTGTCTCAATAGAAAACGATTTTTAGTATTAAAAAAAATAAGAATACGTACACCTTTAAGTATATTAAAGCTATTAGCCCTATGTTAATCTTTCGATACCCATATGAATTAAAAAACATAAATGTTTTGGTGGAGTGTGACAACCCAGATTTCAAACTGATAATCCATTTCTACATTTATGTTTTTATACTTTGAAAGAAGATGGAACAAACCTTAAAGAAATATTAATTTTAATTTATTATACTTAGATTAAAAAATGTTGAGGTTATTATAGCTTATCATAAATTTTCTAAAAAAAGTTAAAATTTTTTAAACTCGAAATATAAACTACAAAAAGTGTTTATAAAAATTTATTCTTCAAAATAAAATAGTATTAAAATAATTTTTTTTGTATTCGCTTAAATCTTAAATACTGTAAACCAAATTTGGAGTATATACTTTAACTGTGCTTATCAAATCATAATTAACCATTTTTATGTAATATCAATTTCAACAGGCATGGGGTATCATATACCTAACCTACCCATGTTTTGAAGGGTTAAAAATATAATTATACTTATTAATAAATTGCTTAGACGATACCACTTAGCCTTAAATTGGTTACTGAAAAGTTAACCATAACCTTCTAGGAAGTAATGAGACATTTAATTTTTAAATTTTTTTTTAAATAGAGGGCTTTAAAGGGTTATTTAATGGCACCAAATTAGGTATTTATCACTTATATTTTTCAAGTATAATAATTATTTTTAGATGTATTCCAAAATTGAGCCTCGCGTCATTTTTACAATTTAAACACCTATATCTCCGGAATTAATCAATGAAATTTTGTTTGTAATAATCCTCACAACAAACATACCTCTAACCACACTGTAAAATTTCCCATTTTTTACAGATGCTTCCGAAAATAATTTTTTTATTCTGATTTGTAATGGAATGACCCATTTTTCTCATTTAACTACCATTATATTTATATTTTTAAAAAATATTTTTTTTCGCATAACGGAAAAATTTAATCTCATTATTAGTCGATAGCCCTTCAACAATGACGGGAATAATAAATTTTATTTTATATTTAATGAGATATGATTAGGTATTTATATTAATTTATATGAGGGGTTAGTTATAATTGAATATTACAGAGCTTAATAAGATATTCATTGATAAAAACCATTAATTTGAGTATTATTTTTTATAATATTTGATACTACTATAAAATTTGCATCAAAATGAGAATTTTTTTATATTCTATATAACTTTCACCACAGGTTAAAAATTACAAAAAGCTACTTGTAAGTGTTATATTTGTATTTCAGATAGATCAATTATTGAAAGGTCATATATAAATATATAATAAATTTTTAAATAAATTTTGCAAAGTTTAAATAAAATATAGCATATAAAATAATCATTATTTTTCACGTTTCAAATGTGATAAATAAAGAATATTAAATAAAATATAGATAATTTGGTTTATAAGTTCAAATAATTTGGATTTTTAACCAGTACCTTGAAAAGAAAGGTTGAATATTATTTTTTAAAATTATTTTATAACCATAATTAAATTAATACAAATTAAATATATCAATATATTTGTTATTTTTCTAAAAACTCATTTTAAAAAGGTTACAAAATGTATAAATTTTTATACTCCCATATCTTAAACGTACATTGGGATACCTGGTTGTTCTGTAATTAGCGATAAGGAAGCCTTTTTCTAGCGAGTAAATTAATTTTTTGAAAATTAGAATGTTCTATAGGATCAAGCTGATGCTGAAAAATAGAACGACTAATCAGTACAAATAAAAAATTATCAATCGCCTTAGAGTTAAAGGCCTTAATCAAATATTTTATTATATAATGGAGTTTTACAGAGCTGAACTGAACTCTCTTTCGGGTTGAAATAAAAAATATCGGTTATACATGGCTTTCATGAGATTGGCGCTGTGTGGCTAGCCCCGATTTTTTTATTAGCAACTTTCACCAAAATGGCCTGTATCAAATTTTCCTTTAAACCTCGAATAATGCAAATTTGTAGAAAGATCTTGCAAAAAATAATTATTGGCTTGTCCTGTCTATAAAAAGGATTAGTTGCTGCCGCCCAAAAATCAAAATTATTTGAAAAAATTAAACTCACCACTATGGTGTTGCTATATTCATATTTCCATGAATATTTCTATTAATTTAATTTAGATGAATTCAAAGCTCATGACAGTCAACTCAGAACATTAGCTTTGGGTCACGCATCAGGGAGGGTACTAGCTACTAGCGCTGACGACAATAAAGTCAATTTATGGGCCATCGGGCAATCCCAGTGCATTATAGTAATTTATATATTATATATATTTTTTTGCGTGTTAAAATACTTTTAGCTTGTTGAGTTTGATTCATATATTTTGAAGTATTATCTATATATGAATTCGATTCGACTATCACCTTTTCACTTTTTAATCACTTTAAAAAAAATTTGCGAGTCAAATAAAGGCCGTCTTAAGACTTGGCGTTTCGGGACGAAAATTAATTCGACGGCCCTTTAAAATACTCTTAATTTAACTAAGCTTTAAAAATCATATAATGACGAACTCGTTCGTCACAACTGAGAATATGAAGAAGGTATAGATAATTTAGAATAAATAACTGAAGTAGGTTTAAAATTATAATTCACTTTTAAATGCACAAGAAACAAAATTTGCTTTGCCCCTAAAATAGCCTAATTTATAGCGGCCTTAGTCTAATTAATATTTTGATATCTTTTCTTTTTAATTCCCTTACGAAAATTAATCACATGAATTTAATAATTTATAAACAGAGGGTTGTCGTCGCCAAATTTATTAACGCATAAGCTTATTCCTTAATTTAAATTCGCATAAATAAAAAATTAATAAAATCTTACTACTAGTCTCACATTGGAATACCAATTAATTTTTGTTTAACCATTTTCCCCATTTTTTAGGGAATGTTTTATATCGATTTCTACAACACCAAAAACTAAAAAAAACATTTATTAATATTTTAACATGATTAAAATATTTATTATCGCTGGGCATCTATCAGTTTCCTAATACCTTATTTATTTACTTTAATCGATATTTTTTCAGTTTGGATGCAAAATTATTATCCCTCCAAACCAAACTATAAAAAAAATTAAAAACATTTTTTTTTTAAAAAATGGTTACAAATATATAAATTTAGGATTTATTTAGATTATTTTTTAAAAATCTTTTATAAGTAATATAGTATAATGTGTAACCCATATAAATCAAATTGTTATTTCTAGAGGGCTTTCTTCACTCATGTCATACTATAAAATTTTGCATTTAATATGTTTACTTTTACCTGATATACCTCATTTACATCATAAATTTCAATTATATGTTGTAAGTAAGTAGCTAATATATTTTATTAGATGGATTGGCAATTTTTTTTATAAAATTGTAAATAAAGTTTAGCCGTGTTCGTATAATATTATTGGCATAATTGATTTTACCTAATAGCTTAAATCATTTTAAATCAATGGCATTAATACTATCATACACTGATAATTCTTTATTAAAAGGGTGCCTGCATTTAAGTCATCTGTATTTCAAACTTTGAATTTCATTGGCTCTATTAGACGCTAATGAAAAGCATTTCGTTTAACTGTCTTTCAATGGCTGACTTTCAGCCTAGGTAGATTATTATTAATGTCAATATTTCAAACCTATAATGTATCCTTTCTAACTTAAGAAGTAAATAGGTAAATCAGTTTAAAATTGATACTTTACAAGGTTTAAAAAGTTACAATATTTTAATTTAAGATACCAAACAAGTTTGACATATTACGGTAAAATTTTAATCATGAATTTTTTTATATCTACCTGTTATTTATTAATTATATTTTTCTTCACTTAACATAATAAATAATCATTTTCTAATCGTTTTTATGACTATTATAAATTTTCAATATTTTTTCCTTTGTAATGAATGCACGCTTCTACCTAAATCCATTTTTTGTGCTATATAGTTTCAATTGTAATAAGTAATAACATTACGCTCCCATCGGTTTGATTATAATATCCTTTTTTTTTAAATATTTTTTTTCTAAAAATTTATAACCGATTCTCACTCGGACATTACTACAATACATGTTAATACAATTAGTTTAAAACACAATATTTTTTTAGAAATAATATGTTATCATTGTATTTCGGGGCAGCTACTTATTATTGATTTTTGTCGTTAAATTGTAAGTAATTTATGTGTTTGTGTTGTGTGATTTTACAAGAAAATACTTAAAAAAATTATATAATTCGTACTTGCCCTTTATTAATAAATATTATATATTTTTTTCTTCACTTGAAGCACAAAGGACATTCAACTATTTGATTTTGATAATTATCTTCGGCATCAATTTACACCTATTTCATAATTTATAGAAATCTCTTTAAAATAAATATACCATTTTAATTTTATCTATAAATAATGAAATATAATTGGTTGAGCGTTAAAGGTTATTTTGAAATGTATTTTTTTTTATGATTTCCTTGTTCATTATCACACAATCTTAATTATTTTGCCACATGTTTATTAAATTTTATTGATATAATTATATACACGAGTAATTTATCATATATATTTGCTATAATAAAATAATATAAATTTATTTACAGACCGTGAGACCTCCAAAAACCTTTTTATCTTGCTCTATAAGTCTCGCTCCCGCCACTATTTAAATTTTACAACTGATAAACCGCCCATTATATTTCAAATGTTGGTTTTTGGAAAGGTTTTAATTTGATTCATGTAATTAATCGGGAAATAGCTAGCTTTTACAATGATGCTATATCATTTATTCTTATACAACATACGAATAAGAATAATATAATCGGTTAAAATGTTGTTTATATAAAAAAAAACTTTCAAAAGAAACTTACAAAATTAACGCACGTAATCTGATTTATGTAAGCAGAATGGAAAGTTTTATTGTATGTTATTATAAAAGTTAAACAACCATCGCAGAATAAATCTCATTAATTTAATTTCTTTTATAAAAAAAGGATTTTAATCCTTTACATAAGATTCTTTGCTGATGTGTTTGTATTTTTTTTTCATTTCAGGCTTAGGGATAGATCTGTTTTTTAAAAATTATGTTTGTTATTTTAAATGATATACCATATAAAACACAACGCAGCAATATGTTTTATGTTAGAAACTATTCCATTTTTAAGACCTATTTGTTCTTCTTATAATTTTATATCTTGTTTAAAATCCCAAAACGCACAAATAATAATTATTAACTTTTTCTACACTTTTAAAAATTTATTCCTCCTTTTCAATTATTTATGAGCGAATAAAATTATGTCAACTTATATCAATAATGATAAAGATCAAGTTGATATATTTAATTAAAAATTATAGAACATAAATTAGAACCCCTGGGCTTAGCAAATCCGACCCGCTATTAATACTCAACCTCAGTGCGTAGCCAGGATTTATCCGTGAGGAGTTGAAAAATTTTTTTGGGACCTGGGCCCCCAAACACTATTTTCTCCAGCCTTCGACCGGGTCCCTAAAAAATATATAATATTAATTTTTCGGTAGTTATCTCTTTATCATCCTTGTTAACGTTGGCTGAACAATTGGAATTACTAATTCTTAAATTTGCCAATAATTTGTGCTTTATTACTGTCTAACCACTATAGTAGCCAGCATAAATGGAAAAATTTTGGTCAAATTTATGATTTTAAGCGACTGAAAGTATTATTCTAAAAATTTTATCAATGTTTAGTGTTCAATTGTAAATTAATTCAATCCATTCGGTGAAGAAAGAAAAAAAATTCACCTCCCAAACCTCCCATTTTTTATGATCACTAAATATATCTTATTCTTATGTTAAAAATAATTTTTTCATTAAATTTTTGCATATAACAAAATTTTACAGAGAATTTCATTAGATTATATTTATTATTACCATTAGTATAAATAACATCCCTTTATTTAACTTCAAAATGTAGAACTTTTATACAGATTATTATATTAAAAATTTATTGTAAACTGTATTTTAAAAAATATAATTACAATAAAATATTAATTCTTGTTGCAAATAACGGAATTAAAAAATATATAAAACCATGTGATCATTTAAAATTCTTATTTGTTTTTTAAAATATATTCCATTTTTATTTAAATTGAAACCATTTTTTAAATAAAATTTCTTTGTTATAGGGGGGGGTTTAACTCCTCCCCTTGTCTACGTAATTGCTCAACCTGGTTTAAAATAAATTCGATTCTTAATATATTTTAAAAAATTTTAAATTAAATTTATATTTTGAAAAATATTCAAAATCTTCCATTAAAGTTTTGTAAATTTTGAAATTTATAATTCCTGCCAAATTATTATTTTATTATACTTTCCATTAATTTAAATACTTCCCATTTTTATTAATATAATGCGTATTTCTTATTGTAATTTGAAAAATAGAAATTAGACATTTTTTTTTGTCAAAATTTCACAACTTTATAAATTTCAAGCTAAAATTTATTAAATTTTAATAATTTCTCAAACTTTAAAAAATGATTTAAGCCACTTTTTATTTTCACATTAAAAATAACTTATTTCTTTTTTTCATTAAATTAACTAAAAATTCTTAATTATATTTTTGATATTTAGGTTACAGCCTCAAGAAAATTGGGAAATTATAAGCTCTCAGGACTGGGTCGAAAAGAATGTTTAAATCTGGTCCGACTCTCACGAAAATTTTTAAAATTTAAATCGCCAGTTTTTGAAGATTATTTCTGAGTTCCGTGCTGGGCTCTAAATATTTGATTTCAACTTGAAATTTTTATCATGTTTGCTTTTTACAAATCATAATTATTATTTTTTCTGCCAGCCTATAAAGACATATTTAAGGATCTGGTCGGCTGATATATTCTATTATCTGATTTTCCTAAAATCAGGGACGTGAACAAAGGCATTTTGCGTTCCTGTATATACAAATTTTAATTATTCATCTTTTGTAATATAGATCAATTATTACATCTAAACGTTAAGAGAAATTCTATAAATTTTATCATTTAGTATATATAAATATAGGAAAACATTTTCTTTCCGCCACTAACTTAAAACAAAATTATTTATTAAAATTTAAAACTTTATATTAATTTTATATAAAAAAAAGAGTTAAACAATTATTTTAAACTTGATTTAAAAAAAATGTTTCCATTTATCCCAAGTTATATTCCCGGAACAAACGCTTCTTTCTCTGTTTAAAAAAGAGCCTATAGCTGTAGAGAAAGCTTTAATGTTAAAAATAGATGAAAACCAAATTTATATACGATAATTATT